CTAACCCTAACCCTAACCCTAACCCTAACCCTAACCCTAACCCTAACCCTAACCCTAACCCTAACCCTAACCCTAACCCTAACCCTAACCCTAACCCTAACCCTAACCCTAACCCTAACCCTAACCCTAACCCTAACCCTAACCCTAACCCTACATGGATTACTACGAAAGTATTAATTATTATAATCGCCTAAAAATTATTAACTATTAAAGAGTTAAGTATTAATCGCTAAATTAATATACTAATAAGTATAAGGGAGAGAAAGAGAAGGCGAATTATTTTATTATAGTATTCGGCTTAATAATTATTTAATTTAAGGTTTAGAATTGTAACGAAGGTTTTAATTATACGGATATAAGTTTTAATTAATTAAACAATATAATTACAATTAATCTTCCTCTTTATTAAATAGTAAGTATATATAGTATAATAGTTTAGTATAATAAACTATTATAGGGCGAAAGGGTACTATTGGGGGTAAGGTAGGATATACGTTATTATACGAGGGAGGAGAAGGGAAGTATACGTAGAGAATTAGCTATATAAGCGAGAGCCTAGTTTAGGCTAGTCCGTACTCGTATACACACGTGGGACTATATATAACTAGAGCCGTTAATAGCTCTAGACTGGAGGCGTGCAGTGTAACTACATTATAGGCTAATCCTATAATATAGCGTATACGTACTTGACTAAGATAGCAACGAGGCCAATAGACGCCTATTCGAATAGTTTCCTAGCGATACTATTATTTTAAACGGCGGTAGTACCAGCGTACGTATTATAGGGCCTACCCCTTCCCTCCAATACCATTCCTTATTCTTAATACCTATTATTATAACTTTTACCACAAGGGTCTAACAACACCGGAGAACTAACGTTAATTCCCATTCTAGCAGTACTACTACAACTAGGTAGCCTCCTTCGTCTGTGTCTACTCCGGAGTCTAGAAACCAAAGTCGAGCATCGCTAGAACATAGGGCTGGGTCAAGCGTGTCCGCTGTAATTTCAACACGGCCGGGTACGGCCAGGTACAGGACGGCGCTAGCGACTGGACTGCAGGGTACACTTTCAATACTGACCATTTCTACTGAGTGCTCTCCTCGACAACAAGCACTACTTAATTAAATAGATTTCCAAGTAACAAGGTTCTAATTCATACTACCTACTTTTACCGTTCGACAACACCTGAGTCTAGTTCACTCCAAACGCATAGTTCCAAACAACCGGTTACCCGTGTCTGTCCCTCCCCTCCCGGTAAACTTATTCTCCGATATCCTCAAGGCCAGCAAATGGAACTTGCTATCTTTCCTCAAGAGCCGTCCCAATTCATGCCCTGTACCTGTAGCCTCCACCTGCACGACCCCGGCGACCACCACAAGGTGGATATCCCTCCCCTCATCCATGGCACGTATGCGCTCACGAAACTCCAACACCGTCTTCCCGTTGTTCACTACCGAGTCCACCAAGATAATTGTGTGTTGATTGGATATGTGATAAGGCTTGACATCCTCCGGTGTTTTGGCGTGCAAGAACATAGCGAGCGGAAAGGCTTCGTTGACGCCAAAAGCCATGGGCTCTCCGCCCCTCATCAAGGCAACAATAGTTGTGTCTTGTTCGCGGAGGAGGCGATGGCCAGTGGTAGCGTGTCCTTGGACGTGAGGGATTGAGTACTCTTCCAGGCCTATAAGGGACGTAATCAACTCCGTGGCTAGGTACCAGCCAATGCGACGATGCGCTTCTCTCAACGCTGGACCAGAGATGTTAGCGTCGCGGGTTGGGGTCATCAGGACCCTGGCGGACGGGCGGTTGCTAGTATGCAAAAGGTTGGAGGGCGGGCCGTCGAAAAGGGATTGATTGAAGGGGTCGGTTGGATCAGAGAGGTCGACCACAGGAAGCCGGACGGTGTCGAGACGGGGAGTGACGGTGTACGGGAGGAGGGTTTGACGGAGATTGTGACTGTGTGGTGCGTCGTTAGTGTTGACATGTTCAATGGCCATGGAGAGAGCGTCCTCCATCGACTTGCTTCTAGTCAGTTCCTCGCCTACGACCACAACGCCTTCGTCAGCAGCCCGGAGCATTGGCAGGTCCAGTGGGCCGTCTCCAAAAGCCACCACACGAAGGTTATGAGGAGGGCTTCGTAAACGGTTGGCAACGCCTTCTTTGGATTTGGCAGTGATGATCAACTTCTCGCGAATGTCCCCGCCGCCAATAATCTCGATGTGCCTTCCCAAGTCTTCTTTCTCCATCACAAGCTCCCATACCCGGCGTAGCCCGCAAGTCACCACCACAGCCATGACGTGCTCGTGCTTTCGGACACGGCGCAGTATAGACAGGAACTCGGGATACAGAGTGATCTCCTTCGCAACATCATGGCAGACCCTCTCGAAATCTCTGTGGGTGTCACTGTACAACATGGCTACCTGGCGGAAAGCCTCATAGCTGTAGCCGTGCTCGCGGAATATCTTTTCGGCCGGGGTCAGCTCGTCCTTGCCAATGGGTCTACTGGATTGACGCTCCCAAAAGTCTCTGCCGGTATCCTTGGCGGTCAGCGTCTTGTCTGCGTCAAATACCAGGGCCGTGGTCACCCTGGTATTGCGGCAAGCCGTGACGTTGGCTACCATCTCATCCACTGCGGCCAGTACTCGTATGTGGTTGCAGTGTTCCGATTCCGTGCGGAACTCGTGGAGCTTGTGTGATATCTCGGATGCCAAATGTTCCACCGGCGTGTCATATTTGAGACCTTCAAAGTGAATTCCCGAATTCTTTGCCAAGGTTTCCAGCTGCCGCATTTCTTCCTCTTGCCACTTGTGCAGGTGTCCAGGTGTCACTGTCTCGCGCTGCCTGACCTGGTCGCGTTGTCGATGACGGCAAAGCGTTTCCGCGGCCACTTGAAGGTAGATGATATGTGTGAACGTATCTTGGTCGGCTTTTGTCCAGACCACCGTTCCCTGCTCGCTACCCCTGGGCCAAAACATGTAATGCCCGGCAACAACACCGGCCAGGCCCGACCTTTGGCACTCGTCACGGATCTGGGCGATGGCGAGCTCGCGGTACCGAGTTTTCTCTTCTTCGGTCAAGGCATTGAAGTCGTCCAGTCCACGGTTTGGGCCCATCAGAGAGGCAATGACTGAAGAGCCTTCGTAGACGGCAAACGTGTTGCTTGGGACTGCCCGTGAAAGGTGTTCGAGGACGGTCGACTTGCCGGAGCCCGGGAGGCCATAGATGCCGACAATGATTGGTTTGGCGGGAGTTGGAGGCGCAGCGACTGTTGTCGGGGACTGATCAGCTTCGGAGCACATCATGACAAGAGCTGCGTGTCTAGAAACGGGTGGAGAAGGAGTGAATATCCAGGTTGAAAGGCTTCCTTGGGGATGGTGGAAGTGGTCGAGAAAACGATAGCAAGGCACACGGGGTGGTGGTGTTAAATACCTGTGCCTGTCCAGATATCTCCATGTCCGCATCGTCACGACTAATTCCCGTTGTTTCTTTTCCTCAGGCGCCCCTGACTGTTTGCTGCTTCACTGGCATTGACAGAGTCATTGTGCGCAAGGATTAGCCGGGGGTTTTCCCTGAACGGTGCTCTTCGAGAGACTCCAGCAGCTGTGCCGTATGGCGTATGCGCGGAGGCCTACTGTTTGGAAATCATAGTGCTTTATAGCTGTTTTATTCGCGTTGACATGTGTGCTGTACATGTAGGCGGCGTGTTTGATGATTGCTGAGGTACCTTAAGTCGTGGTCCGGCGTGGTTGTCCGTTGGTGTGCCATGCCTGGGCTGATTTCGTTGAACTTTCCGATCACAATGTACGGGGCGGCTGCCCGGTGGCGGAATGCAAGTGCCCGTCCCCAACCCCGCTAGCAAAACGGGCGGCACCATCAAGGTTCAGTTTCTGTCCCGCGACATTCGTCACTCAATCCTGTGTTTGGCCTGTTGACTCTCAGCTCCTTACCATATAGCCACTTTCTCTTCAACCTTGCTGCATCACCAAATCGACAACAGCATCGCCCGTCGACTGTCGGTCACAGCCTCATCACGTAAGCACCATCTCCTTCCGACGTTTTCCTCCGCCTTTCCACGATGATAACAGTGCAATAGAACATACCTAATCAACCCTGTCGTGTGCTCGTGTATGCTCAAGAACTGGCTCGACAAACCGTCCCCGACCATCCGCTCGACACCGACAAACACTTCGGCCATCCGCCGCAGACCCGACAAACAATGCGCCAGCCCACTCGTACAGCCCTAGACCGCCTCCTCCATCGCCTCCTCAATAGATGGCACGCCGTCCTCTCTCTGCCCTGCCAATCCCCACCGACTTGGTACCGCGCCCGACTCATCGAAGAGCTCCGTGAGCTGCGCTCTGCTACTACCACTGTCAGCCGACTTAGCGAGACTGCCGACGTCTTTTTCTCCATAAGCCGTGCTCGACACGACGGCTTCCCCGTGCGCAGACTTCCTCCTCTTTCCTTGGCGCGTCATACTGCACCCATGATCTACATGGTCGCCAAATACACATTGAGGTGGGGGTTCTATAGGACAGCCGCGAGGTTGTGTGGAGCGAAGGAATGGAAGGGGGTGAGGGAAGTAATCAACCCGGCGAAGGATCACAAGTTGGGGGAGGTGTCGGCACGTCACAGCATTGATCCAGACAAGTTCCGTAACACTGGGAGGATGCTGCGGAGGGTGTGGCCATTGCTGCCCTAAGCTTCTAGACTTCTAGTGTTTGCGACAAAGCAACTCGCTGTTAAGACGATCGACAGTCAACCTTCGACGAAAAGCTGACGCTGTGCCGTCGTCGATTATATCACAAACATCTTCTCAAACCCTACCTTCTCCCACTTCCACCCGTTTGTATCAAGTGTCACGTTCGTCCCCACCGTCTTACCTCCCTTCAAGCTCCCTGCCTCAACTCTTCCACCCCCAACCGGTCTCTGCAAGTGATCATCACCAGCAAGCACGGTGAAATTTGCCAGAGGCAGGTCCCAGCCATTGCGGGTGGCTACGCTGGGCGAACCAAAGAACTGGGCATCGATCTTGGACTTCTTGATTGATAGATGGAAGTACCCGCGGTAGTACCCTTCTTGCCATTGCAACTCTGGGTTGTTGTCGACCTTGGTCTTGGTCGCCTTTTGTACGGTGGCGATGGTACCGCTGGAGCCGGAAGAGGTGACGGCTGTTCCTGCGAACTCGACGCCGATGGCTCCCAAGCCGGTGGCGGCGTCATAGGGCTTTGTACCAAGCCAGGCAAGGTCAGAAACCTACAAAAGACTGTTAGTGTCAGAGGAAGAGAAGTAATGGGAGAATAGTACTTACCCAGTTCTGGTGACTGTCTCCGGACAGAAAGACGTTGTCTGAAATGTTGTTGTCGTACAGATGCTGAAGGGTGCGGTTCCTGCTGGCGACGTATCCCTAAAACCTCTTGTTAGAGGCAGTTGAAGTTCGATAGAAGAGAAGAGACGCTTACACTCCAGTTATCGGTCCCTGTCAGTTCTCCTTTGGAGTCAAGAATCCTCGAAAACACGATCTGGTTCCCCACCACTCTCCACGTTGCCGCTCTCTGCTTACTTTCGCTCAACTGCCTAAAGAACCACTTCTCTTGGCGGCCTCCCATTAGCGTTCTCGAAGGATCATCCCTAATCGCCTCGATATAGGCATCATTGTTCCCTGTACTGGTGATACTTCGATCGTAGTTACGAGTATCGATGACGATAAGATCCAACAGCTTGCCCATCTTGAAGTTGCGCCAGATTCGCAAGTTATCGTCGAGGTCTACCTGGCGGATCGGCATCCACTCAAAGTAGGCGCGCACAGCGTTGATCTTGCGCGTATCGACACTGATGGAGGGACCGTCATTCCTGAAGGAGGCTTCGGTGTTGTTAAGCGCGGAGAAGCCGTCCCGGTAGCCATTGTTGGCAAATTCTATACGGTCAGGGTGGTTAGAGGTTGTATAGAGCATGGCATGCAACGGGACTTACCGTGATCATCCCAGGTGGGAATCCACGGATAGTTCTGGGCCAAAAGCTGCAGGTCGTTGTCTGTTCGGTACTGTCCATGGCGTGTCCGATAGTCGTACAGGGTGAACAGCTTGTTTGCGGGCTTGTGTGCTCTCGGACCGCTTGACGCATCTTCATAGATGTAGTCGCCGAGATGGACCACATAGTCATGCTTGCCTTTCCGGGCAGCATTGCCGTAAACGTTGAAGAAGCCCTTGGCTAGTAGATAACAGGTTAGCAATTATGAACAAAGGGCACCTAGACAATCCCATCTTCCCTGTCCGCTAGGACGCACCATGGTTTGAGCAAGAGAACACAGCTAGCTTGACCTCGTCGACCTCGTCATTCTCGGCCGGAGCAGTCTTTGTTCTTCCCACAGGGCTAGAGTTGTTGGAGCCGCAGACGTTGAACTGGTAGTTGTAAAGCGTCCAAGGCTTCAAGCCGTGAGCTTCGACCTGATCACTGTCAGCGGCTTGCTCATTCAGTTAATCTGAGGGGCGAACCAACCTTGACTGTGAAGTCAATATCACTCGTTGTGTACGCCTTCCCGCTGCGTCTTAGTGGGCCCTCCACATTCACGTTGTATCCTTTCTGCAACTCCCATACCTTCCACTCGATACAAATAGGATTCGCATTTGCCTTGACGTACTTCTCCGTTTCATGGCTGTAGAGCTCGACCGTCCCCGCCACGGTTACATTACTCCTATCCGACTCAGCAGTGGGCGCTACGCGAGTCCAGAGAATCACGGAGTTGGGATAAGGGTCTCCCGAAGCGACTCCGTGGGTAAAGTTCAGCTCCGAGGGTTGATAAGCCATGGACGAGCGTTTCAACGTGCGGGAAGTGATAAGGGGGAGGGAGAGGCCGAGGTTGACGTGTGACGAGCGGGGGGATGGGGATTGGTAGTTGAGGTTGCCTTCGAAAGAGGCGGACGCAAGACAGAAAAGGGCCCCGAGGCCGAGAAGGGACCCGAGATTTGGATACATCATGAACCAAGGAAGGCGATCTGAGAAGCGGCTAGCGGTCACAGGCTCGACGTGAGAATTCGGCGTGGGCGGTGATGGGTTTTATCATCTTCTGCTGTCCCTGAAGCCTACACTTCAATTTCAGAAAGAGTCTAGAGAAGTTACATCAAACCAAAAGCGGAATGAACAGGGTAAGGTCTGGTGTGCCCGAGCACGTAATCGGATGCCATAACAACCCGTGTTTCCGGTAGCGGGCGAGAAACGACGTTCACAGCGATCAAACCATGGCGGATGGCTTCATCCGCATCTCGGCGGGAAAGTGATCACCATTACCCTTTCCTCGCGAACGCATGTTCGGGTACGCCAGCGGGCCGCTCGAACGTCACATTGGCGGACCGGGTTGATATTTCGAATCGCTGAAGAACGTGGTGGTCCAGGATAGCATCGCTTCGTTACACTGACTGTAACCCGCAACCCGCGTGCCCCAGGAACGAGAAATCACTGGCTGGCCTGAGAAGCGATGTGTTCAGTGGAATCATAGTTTGGGGTTGGCGAGGACGATGCGGGTTCTGTGAGCAAGTCCAAGGTATGGTGTAGAGGTACAGGTGACGAATCACTGCATGAGGTTTATTGCGGGGCCATCTCGCAGGATCCATGGACGCGGGAGCTTGAGAGCGGGGAATTTGTACCTCTACAAAGTTGGACGTTAGCAGAATCAGCATCGATATTGGAACACTTGAAATTCTTTGACGAAGACGCACTTTATGAAAATCAATTAGCATACCTAGGTGGATTGGTACCGACGGGAACTCTAACCAGTCGGATTAAACCAATTACAATGCTCCCAAAGCAGGTTGTACGTTGTACACATTGGTTCATTGTCAACGCCGCCAACGTCTACCGATTCCCTGTCCTGTCGTCCAGCCCACGTGCTAGTAGGCAGCATCGTTGCCAGCCGACAGTTTGGGAAACAACCAACAACAATCATGGGCTGTACATTGCAATGGGACCTACCTCCATAGGTGCATGCTTCAAGGCTACATCTGAACAGTCGATGCCAAAGGTTCGAAAAATAAACGCTCATCAAGGCCCGATGACGTCAGACTGTGATCGATGCTGATGCGCCGCTACACGTACGCAACTGGTGTTCAACACTAGAACCCTTGGACGGGAGTAGCATCCGAATCAGTTCGGCTGGCTCCTATCACCACTCCACCATGGACTCATCTGGTGTCGTTGAAATGATGGTTTCGTCGATGTCAAGGTGATATCAGATGTCCATCAAGCTCGCATGTCTCTTGTTGGAGATGGAGAGGGACCGACATGGTACCTGCCTACCTAGTGGTATATAGATAACCAAGTCGGGAGCGGGTTATCACCATTCACCTCTCGCCTTCCCTGGAACTTTGGTGTAACACTCGGCTCCATTGTGCCAGACAAGCAGTTGCCGCCGCTGCCCATTCCCGCTAGCTCGATATCCAAGAAGACTTCAATATGGTCATGTACAAGCCAGGTCAGACTGTCCGCTACAAGCCCGTGGGAGGTAAGTTTTCATTTACGTGGTTTATCTTCTGTTATGCAATCCACTGATATCTTGCCTTGAAAAGGGCCTGACTCGCACACCTCGGAGAGTGTGGGCAAAGTCAAGGACGTTTTGACCGAGCCCGGTCACCAAGCCGGCCGCAATGTCAATGCCAGTCCAGAGAACCCGAGATATGAGGTACGTTCGGTCGTCTTACCGGAAAGTAGCTGGTCACTGAGCGGTTTGTTCATTGGTTCTGACAATGATGTGTGGGATATAGATCCAGAACTTGAACACTGGCAAGTCGACCACCATTTACGAGGCCAACATCCTGGGACCCGCGCAATAGAGGTAGATCGCTCTAGAAAACTACAGTCGTTGCTTGGGTCTTTACTTTGAAGGACGGCTTCCCCTACAAGGTTGTGGCAGTGCATACTGACCAGCCTAAACACCGGCCCGCAAATTCGAACCAGACGAGTCGGGATGGAAGATCTTCGCCTTATGTTTTTCCAGCAATTTCTCCTGTTCGGTATGAGTTCGTGTTGAGTACTTGCTCGATCATGCATTTTTGGCACAAGGCCCCTTCCTTGGCAACGTCGATATCTAGGTTCAACATCTTATTATTGCTGTACATTCGGTGTTGGGCATGTCATGACTAGGGTATAATAAAACGATCATCCTTTGCCTTGTCCAACCTATCAAATTAAAGCGGTCAAGCCAGGATAAGTGTCCTACTTTCACAACCATAAAAGAAACCTTTCCTCTGTTCGTAACCAATACAAACACCTACTCTCCTCCAAGTATCTGCGGATCCGGGATTTCTTTGAAGCAACAACATCGCCAACTCTCCGAGCTCAAGGCACATGAGCTCCGTTTCCTCCCCGTCTGCCAAAGCCACACTGTCACTCTTTTTATTCGCAAAGTAAGCGCCAGAAGGCGGAACGAGATAATCCAGCTGTCCCACCACCTCCCCACCATGGGCGTCTTTGGAGACTATGCGACCATCATCGTGGTTCCTCGAATGTAGATCGCGGCCGGGAAACTCTTCAAAGTTGAAGCCGACGCGATCACCGCGTTTCCATTCGATGGCTTCCCACGATACGGCGCACGAGCTTTCGGAAATGAAGCGGCGGAAGCGACCTTTTATCTCGATCTGCTTGACAGTGCGGCCTTGTTGCTCAACCAACTTGCTGCGAAGGCGAGGGTCGGTGATGACTTGCTGGTTAAGGGTGACGGTTGGGATCACGGGGGTGTGGTCAAAACTGAATTGACGGACTCCCAAGAACTGAAAGTGTGGCGACTGCCTAAATGCATGTCTCATTTTTGTGTTGACACATAGCGGCAATGAAGCCCACGACCACGATGGCGCAACGTCTTGATGACTCCCCTTTGAATCCACAGCGCTTGCAACCGACCACGACAAGTGTCTAGCTAGATCTTCTCGCCACAACCCTGCCAAGTATTGCTCGCTAACACGGGTTTTACCACCTCCGTCCATCTTGGCTTCAAGAAACCGGACGGCCAGGCCCGATATGGCAAGGAAACGATCGGAAGAGTGCGCGAGGTCGCGCCGCGTGTAGGCTTCAACGATATCGAGCCATTCTTGATCAATGCTCTGGAAGTCACCAATACGACAGACATCAAGGAACCGTTGTGGTGGACTCCATGTTAGGTCCTCTGAAGTACAAGCAGGCGAAGGAAGGTCAAGGGGCGAAGACTCGACGGTTTGGTGCTCGGGGCAGGACCAATACCAGCGCTGACCGGTCCAGTAGAGAATTCTGGGAGAAAGACGCTCTTCTTGGAGGGTCCAGGCACGCTGCGATGCTGGAGGGTCCAGGCGGACTTCGTGGAGGGGTTTTTGCGTGTTGTAGAGGAAGTGGTTGCGCAGTTTACAGGGCTTCGGTTCTTGTAGCCACGCAAGACGGTCGTATAACATGGGTTCGGTAGCTTTTGTGCTCGAAGAGGCCAGCAGGGTAAATGCGGCGTTCCCGTAGACTTCGTGCATCAGGGAAGCCTCGGTGTCCCAATCGGTTCCTTTGGGGATACATACATTGTCGATCCAAATGTACTTAAAATCCAATTCCTGGGTGATAGCGATGGCATCTTGCATTGTTTCTGGCAAGATCGATCGAGGAAATGGATTTGTGCGTTCTGGTGCGGGCACGCCATTGACTGTTTTGGTAGAGGCACCCTTGATCCTGGCCCACTCTTCCGCCGGCATTGTGGTGGGATCTCCCCAAGAGTAGCTGAGGACGACATAGGGAACCAAATGATCAGGACCCGGGACCACTCGGACGTTTCCGTCGCCTAGAATCTCCAGCAGCCACGACGGATTCCTGCTGTTCCAACGGTATCGAGACGAGCACTGGTGGTTGTCGTGACAGTTGCTGACGATTTGACGTAGCTCTTCAAAGTTGGGCCGGAGCCTGGAGGCTGCGGAAGGTGCTTTGGTCTTTTTTCCGACAGCAAGGCACGGCTTCTGACTGAGGACAACCGTTGCAGAGAACAAAGGAACCCCGGATCCTTTCTCAATGGTAACCTGGAGACTGTCGCCTCCAGGCCGTATGTCTAGAGCTACCTGGACTGGCCACTGGTTATCCGTGTGTCGTAAACGTTCAGCATCCCGGCCGGTGATCTGATCTAATAGGAGAGCACGGCGGACAATTTGGCAGGCGTCGCAGTTGGAAATCCTTGCGCACAGATCGAGCTCGACGTAGCTGTTGTGGATAATGCGCTTGGGAGAGATGCCCTTGTGGTTTGGGTCCTTCCTCCGCTCGGCCTCTGCCCAGCGAAGGAGGTAAGTAATCTGGTCACATCCGCGGCACTGTAGTTGGCCATGTTCGTTGGTCTTGACGCGTAGTAGATCTTGTGCGTGTGGTGATGGAACGCGATGGTAGGCATGGTGTTGATAATGTGCTTCTTGCGTGCTGGTACAGTGGCGGGACCGACAAGAGTCTAACAGCTGGCTCTTCCGACCGTAGAGACGACGGCCAAGGCGTTGTACCCAGTAGTAGGTCGCTGGTGTGGGTGTCTCCATGGTAGTATGGGCCGTGACTGGCAGACGATGCTGTGTAGATGGTGACAGCAAGGTGGAACCGAGCCTGAGGCAGGAGGGCGAGGCCATCCATATGTACTAAGGCATTCACAGAGCAGTCATGACCGAGCGTGATGGACCGGCGACGGGTCGCACGTGCCATGCTATCCTCTCATCTCTTCTGCCTGGCATGGTTCGACTCGGCTCGACTGTGCTAGGGCTTGGCACGGCGGTGACGTCGTGTGATGCTCCCGTCCGGCCCATTGTAGGGGTCCTCAGCCCTACGGCCAGCTGTGCAGTACATTCAATGCGGGACCAGAACCGCGGATATTCGGAGCTATCGAGGGAGTTTCTGGACAAGGGAACAGTCGTTCGGGAAATGACTGGCGAGAACTGGGTGTCCACCAGGAGTGTGGCTCATTCCTTGCACGTTGGGTCAACTGTCAAGGGTGGGAGCGAGCAAGAAGCGGTTCACTGCCACAACCGAGCGCGTGGTACGACGTATCGTGACCGAGAAAAGGTGTAGGGTTGTTCTGGTTTCGACAAAGAAGTCAGTACTCTACTACAATTCAGGTTGGCATTGAGTTTCCGTGCCGTGCCGCGCCGCGAGGTCGGGGGGCGGAGCAACAAGAACGGACCAGGAAGGGAATAGTAACATAGCGGTGCGGCGGGGCATTCCGGGACCGTTTGACTGAACCGCGCATTTCAGTGGAGACAGTGCCTTCGGTGTCGCCGTCATTTTCCTGCTCAGTGACTCTTCTCCGGACGGCATTGGTGATTGTATATCTTCTACCTAGAGGTAGTAGTCATTTGTCGCGAATTGGCTTCTTGGATTGGACGAAAAAAGCGATGGCGGGGAACGACGGGTCGGGTGGCCTTGGGTCATCAACCTCCTGGTACATACAGGTAAGCGCGTTCCCGTCATCCCGTCATCTCTTAGGTGCCGGTATGGGGGGCTTCGACGAAGCGAGTCGAGCTGTTATCCTTGCCATGTAACCCTCAGCACTAACACTAACAGACAAGACTACATCGCCGTATGTACTGCGCAGCACCACCACCGCGGTGGGGATGGTTGTCCGATACTGTCCGGCCGGGAGGGAATTGAGCTTGCTTCCCGCAAAATGAGCGTTGACCGTGGAGATATGAACCATGTGTCTGGTAGAGGGATAATTCGCCTCGGGTTTTGGGTGATTCGGTAAGCCGACGACAATCTCGTGATGCGTGTTCAAAGTGCAACTGCGGCATGGCGTTAGCGGTTAACCGCTGTTAGTCCCGGGCTCAATTAGTGGATTCGCACCTACCCCGGGGCCCGTAGGTAGGTACCGGCTCCCGTTTTCGACCCCCGGCCCTTATTCATCTGAATGCCCCCTTATGGCACGCCGGATGATTCAGACCACACCCCGGACACTTTGAAGCGCTGCGGTATAAGCTGGGTGTGGTGAGGTAAGGCGGACGGGTGTCAGCTCCATTGATGCTCCAGCATGGATGGTACTGCTCCCGGCAACGGGCACGGTGGAAACATTGTGCCGGTCCGAAATGAGAGCAATGAGCCTCCTCCAACTCGACGAAGGTCGTGATCAATAAGTGGAAGTTTACGAGTTGGGGGCCGTGACTCGAAAGCAGGTAGCGCGACAGATTTGGAGCGGGCTAGGTATTCAAGGCATCCAAGGCTTCCTGGGTGTTAAACGGAAGCCTAAATCTCCCGTGCGATTGCGGAATTCTTGGTGTGGAAAAGCCTGGTCTTCCACTTGAAGCTGGTGGACCAGACTGCTGGTAAGGAATCCCAGATATTCGGACCTGGCTCCGGGGGCGTGGACTGTCACGTCAACAGGGGTGACCGCCCCCGGGCTCTGCAGAACTCGATCACGTCCTGTAGAAGACACTATGTACAGCTAAGTATGATTGATCAACAAAAAGGTACGGTGCGACGTCTCGTCACACCCTAGAAAGACCGTCGGTTACCACGTGCGCGTGGGCGTATGTGCACCTACGCTCCGATCTTAGGCTTCAACATTCGAGTTGATTGTATGGATGGATGCGGATAATGTGGGTTCAAAATGTTCTTGCCTAATCGTATGTAGTACTACGCGTCTGAGCTGAACTCAAATACATCATGTTGTCCAGGCAGCAAAAAAACAAAGTTGTAACCAAGGCCCTTGGAATTGAAATTGAAGCCATCAACAGCCGTCACTGAGCCTCTATCGCCGTTGCCACCCGGCGGTTAGCATACTTACTACCTAACTACCTAACACCAAGCGCACTCCCTTGTTGCGATCTTCAAATGTTTGCCCACACTGTCGATGATGCTTGAGCCGCTCCAGCCTCCCGTCGCTCTACCCCGTCATTACCTATCGCTATCGTCGTGAGAACCAAAGAATGAAAACGAAAACATGACCTAAGCCGACCCCACGTCAAGTCGGCCCCTCCGCCGGTTGGTATTTCCTGCAGTGTCATGGGGTCCCCGTGACTGGTGGCGACGGCCTTTAACCCCAAACAGCGGGCACAGACCCAATTTCGAAACCACTCAACGCAGGCCGCAGTGTACAGAGCAACACATCGATTCTTTGGACATATCTGATTGAAGCTTGCCTCATTTGATTCATTTTTACTCATGTCAGAATCAGGTGCGCACTTTGCCGAAGAGTGCCGACAGTACCTGTGTTTCGCCTATCCAATTGTGTGGCACATACCTGGTAAGCGGGGCATGGTGCAGATAGTTCGTACCTACCCACCTTTAGACTAGTACGTACCTACAATCCCGCGCCAAAAAAAACGACCAACTGTTTTTTCGCCCGCAAAAAGAACCAAAACTCAACTTTTTCAGTCCTTAGTTTTCATAGTCAACCACGCTTTAAAAGTAGATGCAATTGAGAAAGAAAGAGGTAAATGATTATAGTTACTTAATATATACTCAGAATTAGTTTCCCTTTTCTGGTGGTGTAATAATAGTTATCCAAATATAAACATGGAAAGCATTTTTAGTTATAGTGGACTTATAGTGCATTTTAGTGGGTGAGATTTGAGATGCTTTTCAAAAAGTCACTTTAGTACTTGCGCTTTCGCGCCCTTCTTAGATACATCCTTTCGGACAAGTTGCATTAGCATCTCCTATCAAAGATATCTTTAACTAAAGTATAGAGTAACTTTTGCAATAAGCCTTGTTAACAAATCAAGAGTTGAAGAAGTTGAGTTTTGGCCCTTTTTGCGGGTAAAAAAAGAGTTGGTCGTTTTTTTTGGCGCCCCACTGTACCTCTACCTACCGCTGCATGTCGGCAAGCAAGGGCCGACCATAGCGATGGATTCGAGCCCCGGCCCCGGCTTTATTCTTACTTTTTCGGCATTAACCGACCCGGCCAGCAGACTGATGAGAGAGTGACTCTGCCATCATTTCTACCTACCTATCTACCTCCTACCTACCTGCTTGCTGTTTTCTAGAAGGTTGATACCCATGCCTTCTCGACCTACACCGAGACCCGACCTCCCCGTCCCACCATAGTACCTACCTATTTTATACGCAGGTGCGCAACCTATGACATCGATCAAGCAACTACCTTACGGGCAGTGTTTACCCCTCAGAAACCGGGGCCTCTAGGCACCAATCAATCCAGAGAGCATGGGGACAGGTTGAACCACAAGGCATCCATCTGACTCAGTCGCAAATGAACTCTCAATTTTGCTTTTGACATGGAAACGGTGAAGCCTTCACAGGGTTTCTATCGAGGGCAATTGGGTGAGGTCCTGTCATGTCAACGTTGTCCGTCAGCAATCGGCATAGCAGTCAGGGACGCTGTCAGTCATAAATTGCTGGTAAGTGATTGGTTACAACGTCCAATTGACTGCTAACCAGGGGCACCAATCATCTCCCTCGCCCGGAATGTCATCCATTCATAGATCTGAGATCGGAGGGCGACCCAGCGGTTAAGTCGTGCAATGTGGTTCAGCCCTATGGCTCACACAAGACACCTTACGCTACTCAGAAGGTTCAATCCCGTGCGTCTGGTTCCCGCTCGGGCCGGAGCTAAAACCCATCCTTCGAAATTAACAAGTCGGTCGACGAGCGCTGGGAAGCAGGCCAACAAACAGACCTGGGTCCGGAATCACGGTCAAACCATCAGCTTCACTGTGCTCAAAGACGCCAAAGCATCGCCATTGCTAGAACCGCAACCTTGAAATGCGCGGTGAGTTTGGTTTATGAAATTGGGCTAAGACCCAATATAGGAAGTTTGATCGCAAAGAAAACATCTCATGGACAAGGGACCCGAACGCTGGACCGTGGCTGATTCCGCTATCCGTGACATACCACATGAAGAACAAAGATACCAGCTACGAACCGGCTTCCCTTGACCGGTACCTGTACCGTCGCTTAACATCTCGTCATACGCAGTTGCAAAGAGCTATTGTGGCAGTGAGCGAGCATGATAAACCAGGAGGAGGCGGGTGTGGAGCTACAACCACCCAAGCCTTTCTCCTCCTGGAGACGCTAACAACCCGATCTCCATGCCACCATTGTTTTATTTTACCAGTTTTCAGCCTAACATAGCTAGGTACCTCTTACATCCTTGCGAACGTCAATTGCCATCGATTAAGTTACTCTACGTTGATCCACCTATTTTTCTTCCTTCGTGAGAGCTCACGTCCAGATTGGGAAGCTGCCCAAGAAACACGGCGCTTTCAGGAACAAACCAGGATAGCCGTCTCTTTAAACCCCTGGGCCCCTGAGCACAGTCCGGTGCACGCCGCAGGACCGCAAGGCGCATCATCAAGGGCAACAACTCGGTCACATTTTGTACCAATCGGATGTTGGTTGGTGTTATTCCTGGGCTGGCCGAGTCCATGTATGCTGTCTAGTGTCAGCCAGGCTATGGCAAGTGCCTTATATACATGGCATCCCTTTCTCAAGTCAGTACCATGCTGAGTCGACTTGTCTACTTGCGCTTTGTTTCCACTGTCGTCCTAGTCATCTTTTTAGAAAACGCTGGCCTGCGTATTAGATCTTCGCCTGGGATTGTCATCAGTTTTGCCTTCCACCGCTTACCAATTCTATTATCCACTCTAACCGTCACCATCCTCGTCGACCTCGTTCTCTACCGGTAACACCTAACCACGCGCATGCCATCAAACCATACACAATCACCATGTACAGAACTAATCACCCAAGGTGGAAGCTCACTCACATTCTCTGCATCCTTGGCCACCTCGGACTGATAATAGCCGGCGTCGTGGCCTTCATCCACAACCTGGAGAGCGAGGCCGACAACTTTGACTCCGTATCACAGCAACCAACGTCAATAATCATGAACATGTCGGATGACCAGACAGTCATTAATGCTGATACCAAGTCATGCACCATTGTACTGGTACAGGGCTTGGGCAGTGGTGTTGATGGAAAGAGTGGAAATGGACATAGCAATTTTGGGATTATTGTCAATGAGCTGTTGCCGGTCGCTTCGGTCATTGTGGTAAGTCACTTCTTTTTTTCGCGTTGGTATAGGAGCAGAAGCGTCAGCACGGTCAGTTTCACTTGTTCACCATCATGACTGTCTCATGGCAGCACTACACCAATCTCTCCTCCCTTTCCCAGTGTTGATTGCACCAAATGCAGAATACACTGCACCCGCCGGTTAAAGCGCAGCACACGATAATGGCCCTTACTTAGCTCCTCCACATTTTCCAGCATTTTACACGGTACTGCGTCAATGACCTGCTAACAAACACGACCAGGGAACAATAGGTCTACTTCTCAACATTGGAATTTTTGCCGCTCTGCTCGCCGTCGAGAGCACATCTGCCAAGGTCAATCTCACAGAAGGCGAGCAGCACTGGCGTAAGAAGATCGTAACAGTCTCCTGTTGCGTGTTTAACTTGCTCCTTGCTGGTGCAGGGATAGGGTTAGCGGGAGCCATGGGAATCAGGTTGTCTAGTGTTGGTGGTAGGCACCTGGGCATGAGTGAAAGTGAAAGGAGTCTCATTGCTCCTTTGGTCTTGGGTGCCGTGCAAGCGTGAGTCTTTTCTCCCTATTCTTTTGTCTCCTTTCCTGCCCGGAACCTACCGACAAAAGGCCAGAGTGAGATGTCTGGCAATCAGGACATCCACAACTTAGACGCGTTCCCACGAGAGCGAGTGCTTCTCGATATTGCCAATATGCGTGGTGGCTGACTGATCACCATCCTTCACTGCAAGCCCAATGGTAGCTTGAGAGAAAGCATCATCTTGGAAGTGACTGGCAGTTGGATGGCTGGGTGAGTGGGTGAGGATTGGTGGACGGAAGGCCGGTTCATCAGTCATCACCGAACACAGAGTCTAAGCCACCCTCAAGGTCATTCCCGCTCATGCGCTACCTATCTTGAGTCTTTTCACCACCCACCTCGGCTCTTGCATACCTTACCTGATTGACATTGTGGCGGTATTCTGAGGCATTTACCACCGTCCTGTCCCGTTTTCTGCCCGTTCCTGTTCCCTTTATCACTTTACCCCACTGCATTTTCACTGCATACGAATAATATGAGGGAATTGGTTGGCTAATTTACCTATCGCTCACAGGCCACTCTGCGTAATAACGGCACTGTTCGACTTTATCAAGAATCATCGAGAAGGACAAGATCTCATCGACTAGGTAGTTGGGTTACCTCTGAGCAAAAGGAGTCCATGGTGTAGGGTGCAGACTGGATGTAAAAGGGCGCTGTCTATGGTTGCATATGGGTTCCATTTGTTATGATGATTTTTCACGGAGTTGGGCGGCATACCTCTACTTATTGATTTGGTTCTTGGGAGGCCTCGCTTGAAGATTTGGAGCTGGCGGTATCGGCACTTTGAAGACATGGAGTAAAAGGTTAATGTGGAGGTCATCACGAAACAGGGTGAGAAGCCGTCAGCATCCGCGTGTGACAGAAATGACACTACTGCAAAGTTCTTCTCATCCATGTCTCCCTCCTGTCGGTCACCTTCGTGTCACATCGTGAATCCCCTTTTTTTTTTTTTTTTTNTTTTTTTTTTTGTTTCTTTGTCTCCAGCCAGTCCTTGCAATTGGATGTTCCCTGGTGGCTTTTATCGTATCTTGTCCTCGATTTTCACGCACTTCACGATCCCCGGCTCTGGTATTTTGGTCATACTGCCCTGACTGCCCCTGCTGGCCTTTATTTTCCACGCACAGCCCGTACGAAGGAAAATATTTTCTCTGCGAGATGGTGTACCGAACATCTGGAGCAGGAACCGTGCATATACCTCTAGGTATACTTCAAGGGACAAATGCAGGTCGCTGCAAGGTTATATTGTCAAGATCTCCAAACAAGACATCATGTTGAAGATAGCTCTAGTCGACATGTTCAATTGTGCGCAACAACATGATAATAGACGAACGGATTGTGACATATGTGTCCGCTGTGCACGATGATCCGAGTTGGGGTTGGACACGTACTCGGAGTTTCAATAGGTAGTTAGTTAGACTCTGGCCTAGCAGTTGACCGTCAAGGTCGGCATGGACATGTACAAGTGAGTCCCACATGTAATCACTTGCTGTAAACTCACATCAAAGCCTCCATCAAACCGCAAACGATCGAGGTACACTTGTCAAACTGTATGATGATGGCTGAAACAAGAGCAGCTGTCTCCAGCCGACAGGTGATCGTGGTGGCGTTTAAAGGGCACCACGCCAGCCAGGGGTTGATATCGTGGCCCCCGGAGTCAGCCCTCTCGGGCGTTGGCATTCTCTGCATCGCAGCATGGGAGGACACTAGCTGATCTCGGCATATGCAAGGTTCTTTTCAGATTGGGAGATGCTGTGCCACGCGCGCGGTTTCTCTTTTGTGTCGTGATGGTGTTCTGGCTTCGTACAAAAAGCTAATCACCTCTTGTGTCGGCAGGTGAAATTTGCTCCTTTGCCGGCTGCAATATGGTTGAGATGCGGTGCTAGCTGGTCGTCGTCGGTCCCTTGGTCGAACAACGAGGTGAGGTTGCATTGCGACGGTGTGATCGGCCCCCAAACGTCGTGCTCAACAGAAAAGTGTTCGGTCGGAGGCTCATTGATTCAGCGATCGTCAGGCGATGGCGATGCTAGGCAGTGCCATTGTGCGGTGTTCTGGAATACAAGTCAGTATCTACCTCTAGGATAGAATGGTCGAGGCAATAAACAGACGAGGCGTGGTCGATACCGGCAGCCTCAATGCCATTGTCCTCGGGAGGTGGCATTTTGGCAATGGGAGACTTTTGCCAGGTGCTATTTGGAAGAATTTCTAGGTGTAGTCCAGGTGGTAGCGGGGGGTTACATGGGCGGCCGTGTTTGGGCAACAGTCCCCACCGCCATTTGGCGGATGGCGACCAATGCCTGACGACCAAGGGAATAACGGGTTAGGTAGGGGCGGCCGCCCACTGGCGTCATGCGCGGTTCACGGCTTCCATTCTGCACTGAACGCAGCGGCACTAAAAAAGTGAGGTTCTTGCATCCCGTCTCTTGGGGCGTGCCGGCGCTCCGCATTTTCCATTCCATCTTTCAGTTCGTTCAGTTTCGTGCCCAACCACCCCCCCTTCGGCCACCGGATTCTCTCTCAGTTTGTTCCATCATTTGCTGCTTCCTGTCCTAGCTCGCTTTTCTCTTCTTACAAAGCGCTCGGGTTTCAAGGATAGGCCCTGATGGTGACCATGACCCGTGCAGATGCTCCCGCCGTCCCGGGCCTTCAATCACATCCACTGGCACCTCCACAACAACACGCACTTCAACCGCAACCCGTCTCTCTTTCATCGGCGTCAGCACGACCCTTATCATCCACATTTTCGCAACGACTTCCTCCTTTGGCCATGTCAATAGGAACAGCGCCGGTGCCTGGCGCTCCTCACTTGCAAAGACCTCCAGGGCTGGGACAGCAACAGTCCAGTACGCGCACGCTCCAGGGCCCGTCCGCGCAGGATTGGGCCCGCCATCGAGATATCATCGTCGACCTCTACAGACAGTATCCCCTCAAGAAAGTAAGCGATATAATGAGGAGTCAATACAACTTCTCGGCAAGGTATTTTGGCGTCCCTTCAGTCCGTCTTTATCAGCTCAATCAAACAATCGATGGCGTCTTCGTTACCATGTTCTTGTCCCCGTCTCAGCATGGACACAACATCTGCACCCCGTCAGAGACACCCTGTCCTGTCCCATCACTGCACTCACCCATCGAGTCGCAGCTTTCATGGGAGCTAGCCGCATGTGCTGGCTCCACGCCCTGTTGACCACAGCGCCGAAATCCAGCTCATCTCTGTCACGTCTCCGTTCCCTTATGCCATTGCTGGCATTCATGTGTATCTGATCACGTCCTCTTCAACTATAATAATGGCCACTTCCATGTCATCATATTTCCCATGACCTCTCGTTGTCATCATCATACCTTCCATACCCTCTATCTTTCATCTCACCCTACCTTCCCTTGTCACATCACACCACCTCCAAAAAAACAAAACCAACATGACGCTGATCGAGATTCCCTTTGCTAACCTCACCCTGTCGGACACCAGCAAACGCATGTATGACAAGAGGTTCCGGGAATGGAATGTGTTTAAAAATGTCAACAGTGATGAAAAGGATAGGCATGTACGTCCTGGCCGATTCCATGGACCCACTTCGCCTCGGAGGCACGGCCATGCCTCACCGGCGGCACAACATGATATAAATAACCGGGACGGCATGGGGGAAACACCACCGTACACACAACCCTTGCTATCATCACATGAGAGACGGAGGCGTTCACAACGGTCGACGAGCCCCTGCTCATCCCTGTCCATCACCATATCCAGTCCAAGTACCAAGTCCATAGGGACGTCACCAGCACCAGTACATCAGCGAGCCATGAGCCCACCAATTACCCGATCGGCCTTGAGCATAGCGGATCTTATCATTGAAACAGCCCCCCAGCCGAAGCAGAGATCCGAGTCTCCTGCCGAAACCATCGAAACGTGCTCGTCACCGGCTTTCTCTTCCTCGACACCTGGCGGTCAATCATGCGCTACACCTGCATCGAGCTGTGCTTGGTCTGAGGATCAGAACCGAGATAAGGACAAGCAATTAGTCCACACCAGGTTGCCCAACCCACAAAATCTTTCCAACTTCAAGGCACAAATCCGCGCCCTTGCCGAGTCACCGCCGCCATTCATCGCCCCGGACTCCAGGACGCGGACACTGGACATCATCACTCTCAGCCTCCGTGACTACTATGACTGGCAGATACGCAACGTACCAGACGGCATATCACCCGATGACTTCCTCGGACAGGGGACAACCGATGCATCACAGCAGTACTGGTCTTCTATCAAGAACGCAATCTACCTCATCAAGCTCTCGGCCAGTTCAGCGCAGTCAGATGCCACTCAACGACCGGATCTCCGTGCATGGCCGGCCCTGTCCGAAGCTGGTCGGGACGCCGCAGCCGCCATGACCAGCCAACCTTTTGACTTCCTCCGCAACCTCTTCGCCACGCTTTCGCCAGCCAACGTCCGCGCCCGTCCTGAACTTCGGACCATCCTCCTGCAGTTCCTCGCCAGCGAAGCCAATAACAACTTCTCACCCACACACCCCATCGCCCGCATCTGCACCGAGCTCAACAACGACGAAGACTGCCAGGAAATCTCGCGCCGCGCTTTGCAGTGCATGGTGGACTTGTTCAGCCGCCTCGGCCAACGACGTTTTGTCTCCTTCAAACTCCTTGACTCCCTGGCCACTCTCCTCCGTCGCAACGGCGAGTTCGATGCGGCAATGGTCATTGTCACGGAGCTCTTCAAAGCCTGCCGGCAAGAATTCGGACCATACGCGGAACAGACGCGTGCAGTTCAGAATGAGTTGGCGCACTTCTACATGGTTGTGGACGACGGTGATCAAGCTTTGCAGCACTGTATGGCTGTCATTCGCCGCCCGCCACCCGAGGGGCTAGCCAATGACCCGAAGATTGCTTTTCACCAAGACGGCATTGCAGCGCACACGATGGAAGACGTCGCGGAGATTCATGAGAAACGGGGGGATCTGGATCAGGCAATTGTTTGGCTTGAGAGGGCAGCGGATGTCGCATTGAGGGTTTGGGGGCCGCAGGCGGTAGCGACGGGGCATATCATCGACAAGCTCACGACGCTTAAGAAGGAGTATGCGAGTAATATGTTGAAAAGTGCGAGGGACTGGGAGGCTATTATCGAGCGATAGTATCTAGGTAGCTTTGGGGTTGATTGATTGAACAATCGTTGTTATTCAACTCTTTTCTGTAGAATGAGCGAATCCTGCAATGCCTACGAGCTACTCTCAACTTTGTTGACGCATTCAAGAAAGGATAGAGGTAAGGTATTAGTGGAAGATCCAAGGCGTTAACAGGATCCACAAAAGGATTTAACGCAACAAGAAACATGTATCTATCTAGAGGTATGTACCTACACTAGGTACCTCTGGTTAGAAGAGGGGTCCTTCGGGATCCGGACCCGGTACCGGAAGCACCAATGACTGCAGCTGACACCTACAACAGGGGCAGGCTTGGGGTGGATTGATGCAGCTTCACACAGAGACTCATAATAGAAGTGGGTTGGGATTGCAGGTACTCGTGCTACTACGCTACACCCCCATCCAAGGGGACATGGCCATGCGATCTCTCGGACAATCAAATGCTGACAAGGCCACGAACCCACGGGAACTCCAGTGCGGCGGGAGCCCGGAGCACCCGATGGTGGCCGAAAACTCGGGACAATTATGGCATGCCTCGACCAACCTCAGATAAGCTGGAAAGAGCAACCAGCAACCACATTCTGAAACTACCAGGTGGGTACCTAGGTACCTAGAGGTAAGTACTGTAGCGCACACCGACGGAAACCCAACAAAATTGCAATTTTGGAGCTTGATCAGTTCAAGTCCGTCGTACAATCTTCTTTGTCCAGGAACCGCATCCGACGTTGCATCAGTCTCAAGCCTCAACGCCGAGTCAGCATCAGCGAGATCATTGGTCTTTGCGAAAGCCTGAGTATTTTAATCATGCCTCCTCTGGCTTCCGTTTGTTGGAAGATCGCATCATTCTGCGCATAGGCTAACAACTGAGGTACCTCTACGATCGAACAATGTCTGAACCTCGCAACACCACTGTGTCCCCTTTTCCTGAAGGAGAGCTCGGTCCCAGCCCTGGCACCGAGTCTGATCAGATCCCATCTCCGCCCGGTCCATTGCGTGGCCCCGAAGCCTCCGTGTCCAAGCCCGACGAAGTGCTCAAGTCCGCCGATGTCGCTGATAACCAAGACCAACATTCAAAGCAATGAAAAGGAAAGAAGAGCTGGGGAAGGACGAAGCGGGGATGACGGTCATGCTGGCAACACTTATATAGAGGCGTGACGTGATCACTCAAGAACATGGAGAGTTCCAAAAGAGGAAGCAGGCTCCGAACATCGAGTATGGTGGGATTTGTGATGGGCTTGAGGATTTGGGACTGGCTGTTAATGTGGTTTGGAGGGAAGTCTTACTATAGGATCGTAGAGACGCTGGGGATGAACATGGTAGATGGTAGGTAATGATGGAACATGACCACTCCAAGACCACATGACGACGTTCGACAACGGCGGGAAGAAAATCAGAGCACTTGACTTTGATTATAACTACTACCTAGGCATGTAGGCGTTCTCCTCATTCTTTCGTCCCCCCATCTTGATTCCTCCTGTTCTTTCCGACCTTTCCCTTCATCTTGCCCCTCTTCCTCTCTTTTTCTGTTTTTTCTCTTTCAGGTATTATGCCGGGGTGAGTGGAGTCTTTCAGACTTTCAAAAGAAACCTCATGATCATACAACCTACTGCGAAGACTTGACCGTTGGCCGCCTCCATCCGGGAGGGCGAACCCTCAGTTGCCATGAACAAGCTGCAGATCCTTCCGAAGCGTGAAGTAATAAATACTCTGGCAGTCACGAAAGGGAATAGCCAAACCTTTGGGCTTACTATCCTTGAAACCCTGGTAGACGAAGGTATCAGAGGTCAAAAAACTATTTGCATCACTCAATGTTAGCCATTCATCCTTCTTAAACACACAAATTCATTCTACCCCGCCTTCATCCAATTCCTTCAAAAGTTCACAGCAAAAAGGAAGGAAAACAAAACAACTCACCCAGCAGTGGTAAAGTCCGCCTGTTTCTGCGCATCCTTGGTGATGTTCCAGCTCAACATGTTGTTGTAGTTGATGAACAGGCATCCCTGCACCGAGCCCTCCCAGACATGGAAGATGCCGTCGTCGTCGAAGCGGTCCATCAGGCAAAGAGAGTCGTCCGGGGGGAGGTAGTTGAGGTCGTGGCAGTTCTTGTCGTCTTCGCAGATCTGTTGTTGTTTGTGTTTTTGTCAGTACAGCTGTTACCTTTGCAAGTCACACCCGGAGGCTCCGGAGCTGCAAGACTGGAACCTGTCTGAGGAAAAACAAATGAAAGCGAACATACCACAACCAAGGAATCGGTTCCATGACCCCAGTTGGGTCTCTTCTGGCAGTTGAAGAAGTGAATAACCTCGTTGTTACCGCCCGTCCATTTGGGTGGGTCCTTCCTCGCGTTCAAGGCCAAGCCCTCGTCCTCACGGTTGTTTAACGGACCGTAGCGGGTGTATGCAGCTAAAGCGTCTTCCGGGCTGAGAGGGACATTGGGGCTGGTGCTAATGGGATCAGCGATAGCCGGGCTGGGAGCGGCCAGGACGAAAGCGGTCGGGTTTAGAAGGCTGACAACGAGGGTACCGCTGACGACAAGGGACTTTAGGACTGAGGTAAACATTTTGAAATCTTCCCAAGAGATTGAGGACGCGGGCTAGGGATGTGTGTCGAAGTTGAAGCGGTTGCCGAGTCCTTTGGGCGAGTTTGTCTGAATGGACGGGACTTGGAAGAAATGTGCGGTTGGGACTGAGCTGGAAGGGACAGAATTCCATTTCTTATACTTCTGAAAGTGGAAAGAGCAGCCAAGAAGTACTGGAAGAAAGTGCCGGTGAAGGGAAGTGCAGTGAATGGGAGTGCCTGTGAAGGAAAGATCAGTGAATATGAGTGCCAGGCCGATGAGGGGAGCCTTAAATGCACCTAGTGAACCTGATGGGCGCCAAGGCAAACGGAACTTACGGAAGGTGGTCCTGCACAAAATAGTTGAGACCTTCAACATTAAACCTTGGGTAGAGGTATACTCCTACTACGCATCCAGTGTCTTTGTTACACCTCTGGACTTGAGTTCTAGGCAATTCCTGAATAGAAATATCCAAATGGAACTCTAGCCGATGTCTTTTCGAATTGTTCTAATCCCTATCACAGTCTTGCAATGGCCTTTTTTTTCTGGTTTTTTTTTCTTTTTTTCTGTGTTTTTCTTTCTTTTGTTCGTCTTGGGGGACGGTAGCGGACTGGTTTACCTAACCTGTTGGTTGGTCGCATCTATTTTGATCCGGACGATAGTACCTATGGAATTCCAGGTTCCAACTGATAATGAACCTTTCAATGTTTTACTGTATGAGATGTTTGGGCGAGCGCTGTACATGTGTGAAAACTCTCTCCCAGCTGGATTATCTAGAGGTATTGTACTACCGCATGCAAGCAAGAATGTGGATTTGTGAAGTGATTGTAAAAAAACCCTGGAGGTAGTATAAACAGCATAATGCCGCTCGCCTTGGCCAGAAAGTCCGTTGTAATGCTCCTATATGCCTCACAATAAGCCAAGAACATATCAGCTAGAGTCTGTTAGGCATTGTTTGAGCTTCGAAGTGTTTTGAATCTCGACCCAAAAGTGTATCAAAGACCTACTGAACATAAGCTAAGCTTCTCCAGCTCCAATCCATACCTCATTGTTGCTCCAAAAACATTGTTCCTTCCACCATCCACGACGGGCCATCTCCACTACGTAGTTCTTATCATGCGCGCCTTCATATTTTCACCTCCCTCACCACCATCCCCTTCACCAACACCCTCACAATATTCCTATCATCCCCTGTCATCACAAACTTCTCGAACACCGTACCCAATTCGTCCTCCTCCTCTACTATCGTCATCACCCCGTCCCTCTGCCAGTCCACCACCAACGCATCGAACTCCTTCCCCCCCTCAAAATTCCCCACCTTGTCCTCGAGACAACAAACCTCGGCCCCTCCCAATGTTGCCAAGTAAAAGGCCTCGGCAATTTTCAACCCGTTATCTCTCCCCTTCGACTCAACCTCCCGCGCATGACTAGCAATCATGGCCTGCCTTATCGCATCCAGCATCGAAGAAGAAAACCCTCCTCCACTGTCAGTCCCCAGACCGACTTTGATTCCGCGGTTGAGAAACTCCCGGATAGGAGCGGCCATGAACCCGCCGCCCACTGTCATGTTGCTTATCGGACAATGAGCCACGCCGCACTGCAGCTCTTTCAGCTTGTCAAATTCGTGGGGGGCCATGTAACAGCAGTGCGCGAGGATGGACCGCTTGGTCAGAAGGCCGTAGTGGTCGTAAAGGTCGGCCTCGGAAGAGAACTGAGGGAAGAGTTCGCGGGTAGCGGTAATCTCCTGCTCTGCTTCGTTGAAGTGCGTCTGAATAGGCAGGTCGGGGTTCTTGGCTGCTATTTGTCCGAGGCCAGCAAGACATTCGGCGTCACAGGAGATGGCAAAGCGAGGAGTGAGGACGTGCTTCAGTAACTTTCCCTCGGGGTCAATCTTCCGGATGTGGGTGATGCAGGATTCCGTGTCTCGAAGGGACTGCTCGACTGACGCATCGCGGTAATAGTCAGGGGAGTTGCGCGTCATGTTGCATTTCCCTACGAATGCGCGCTGGCCTTTGGCCAGGCAGAGATCGGCGAGAATGTTGGTTGCCTCGGGGTGAATGGAGCCATAGTAGGAAGCGGTGGTGATGCCTTGTCGAAGGAAGCCATCGATAGCGGAGGAGTAAATACGCTGCGCGTGGGAGGGATCGCGGAATCGACCTTCGTTGGGGAAGGTGATTGCGGAAAGCCAGTCCAGGATGTGTTGGCCTTGTCCGAGGCCACGTTGGGCCCATTGGGGGGCGTGGTTGTGTGTATCGATGAAACCGGGAATGATGAATTGGGAAGGGGAGAGATAGTGAAGAGTTGTGGTGGCGGTGTCTCTAGGGGTTGATGTATTAGTAGGTAGGTAGGTAGGTAGAGGTAGTTGAAGATTTGATACGAGACTGATTATCAGTATCATCAGAAGGTCTACCTACATGAGGCTGCCAACCTCTCCCGGCTTCACATCTTTGTGAAAGGCAGTGATTACGCCCTGCGCTTCGACGATCAAAAGGGCGGCAGGAAGGATCTCAAGGTCATGGCCAGGCGTTGACAGCGAGTGGATGACGGCGCCGTAGAACGCTTGGGCCTTTGCTTCGTGTGATCCCATGTTGGATTGCGGCGATTTGGACAAGAGGAAGTGGTTCTCGAGGTCCGGTCGTTTGCGTTGATGTCATCCCGGTCTTGTACACAAACCTGAAGCCCACGATGAAGCAGCAGGAAACATGTGCGGGGGAAGTCGGTGTCGGCCCCCCGAAATAGCGGGTTTGTTCCTGACCCCGCTCCGCGATATGTACAGTCCAGTACTGGTTTGTTTGTTAGTTCGAGACCTCGTGTCAACTTTCCTATGCGTTTTTATGGCTAACTAATGCATGATCTTACCTTGGCTACGCCATCTCTAACATTCAAAATCCTAGATAAAACCCCGCTAATGCCTTTTAATCTATCTACGTAAGCTTTGGGACCATCAGAAATAGATTTCGTTTAATGCACTATATATATTGTGGGAGTGCCTGGTGTACCAAGCCAACAAACAAACCAGCACTGGACTGTACGTGGCGTGCACTAACAAATTCGCCAATGAGCTCGACAACTCGCTGAAGACACTCGCCTCTTTCAACTCAAGCAGAAACGAAGAATGTCTCAGGATAGGCCCTTCATCAAATTTACGTCTATCTAGAATACATGATAGGGTAAGCGACACGCGACTTTCTCGTCTCTATGGTGTCTTTTCAGCGAGTAACACTGAGGTCCTGCATTGTTAGTGCTAGCGGCCTGCGATGCCAAGACCGCAGTGTCGGGTGGTTGCCCTCCCGCTGTCCACTGCAGTGGCGAGCGACACCCGGACCACTCCAGCTGCAGCTTCACCAACTGTTCCATGGATGTCATCTTCGACTGCAGTGCCCGGTTCGTGACCGAACAAACGCGGGACGGAACGAAGCGTCCAGTCCAAGTACCTCTACCACAGTGGATTCCGCGCACAATGAGTTGAAATAGGAAGGCGACGTCCATCGAATTGATCTTATCCAAACGAGGCAATCTGGTGAATGATAGATGTGTCATATGTAAGGTACACTATCTAGAGGTAGGTACAAGCCCTTCCTCGTTCATCCCCTAATTTCCATCTCAAGCTCTCCATCAACATCCTGTGTTCCTGTCAGACCAAGTCACCTCCATTCCAAGCCAATCCCCAGGGGCACTCAGCCGTCTCTCAACCGCGATATCTCACACCCCTATCTAGGAGCAACCAGTGGCGCGATTAGAAAGGCACTGGGTAGTGCAAGTATTTCCAATCAAGGTATCCCTGGTCAATGCACTGACATAGCTGTCGCTAACACAGCCATTCAGCGCCTTCCGGGCCGCGGACTGCAGGTACCAGAACTGCGCATCCTGGACGACATTCGCCCAGCTGATGCAGCACTGGTTGCCGCCCTGGCTCAAGCAGACCGAGCGAGGAGACTGCGGGATGGTCTGGCTCGAAAGACCGTTGATCAAGTTGGTGCACACGGGCGCGTAGGCCCGGTGGGAACCGGAGCAGGTCACGGCGTTGGAGCCGCAGCGTTTGTCGAGCTCCGGTGACGAGGTGGAGCGGGCCGTGATAGGAGTCGATTCATCGCCGTACCTAGCAGGAGAGGTGTTAGTGGCCGTGCACTTATGGTGCGGACGTGAAGGGGATGAAAAGGGGTAATTTACCAGGTGATGGTTCCATTTTCGGTCTCGGTCTGCTCAATGATGATGAGAGCATCCTCAGCGGGAGCTGGAACAGGGCTGGCAGAGGCAATAGCGGCCAGGATGGCGCTGATGGCGAGGATCTGCTTGGAGAGCATCTTGAATCTTGTTTCTGCTGAAGTGCGTTAGTTCTGGCTCAAAAACGGAGAGATTATCTTGAGCCTACCGGTTGTAAAGGGTTTCAAACCGGTTGGTTGAGGCTACTTCTCAGGATTTTGTCGCGGAGGATGGTGATGAAAGTGAGATCTTCAGACCAAACTCGGGCGGCTGCTCTAACCTTTATACACGAATCTTCTCGATATGACCAAAGACCCGGGCGGAGATGCACCCACCATAACCAGGCCTCTCAGTGTCGAGTCGTCGGCACCTCTTGTCCAGAAAATAGCCATCTACACTCGAGACCTATGGTGTATGAGCCTCTCGGCAAGGGTGTATGACACACAGTCAACCATTTATTTGACCCATCCGACACACGTGCATGTTACAGAGTGTCATCGTGGGCTACACTTTGGTGTTGGTGATGGTCTTCGTATCGTGGCATCAGTCACAAACCTTGGTTGACATGGATAACTTGCTGACCTCGCATGAGCCTCAATACTTCAAGCCAATATTGCTGAGTAACGTACTCTGTATCCTTCTCATGCCCCGTGATCGGTTTTCCTGTAGTAGCTAAACTCCGAGCCGTTTTAGTTTCCTAATTCGGCAACTTGAGTAAGCATGCTGAGTAAGTCTCTTCCAACCCCGGGAATTGACTTGACCCTATGGGAAGGCCATGGAGCGCAGCACGTAGTGTGAAAATCTCATCTCCGGACACATTTATGTACGATGTGGTGCCGGTGAGCCAGTACGCTTGGTACCTAGTCGACTCAAAGTGCCGAGTAAATGATCAAACCACTAAATCCATTGATGTTACCTGTCGAAGGATTATTTGCACCGGTGAAGAGTGGTAGTTGCGAGCCGCACATGTAAAGTGGCATTGGTGCTACCACTGTCAGCACTATACGCCCGTCAACCCATGTCCATGTCGGTCTATGCTTATGCACTATATCATCAATTAGGGTACTCTCCGTTCGCTTATCGTTTCTCCTGGGCTTTCCTGTCGTCTTCTCTCCATGCATTCCTCTCCAGTTACTCCTATCTACTCCTATCCCTTCCATCTTAAGAGCTTTACCTCTACGCACATCCATCAGGCCTATTACCCAAACACTGTACCGTACATGCTCCTCCCTTCCCCCATCCTCGCGAGTATTCCTCGTCAGCCTGCTTACCATGTATTTCCCATCCCTTGGAAATCGGCAGTGAACAATCAGCTGTTCTGCCGGGCCCTTGAGTTTTGTCTGCTCGCCTCAGATACGCATCCTGCCAGGATATACAACTTTGGTCGCCCTTGTTGTCTCTTTTACAAATGAAGCGCGTGTCCTTCTTGAAGTTTTCGCCTGTGAGCGTGTTTGTGACGTCAAGGCAGGCATCGCGGCTGGCGGCAAAGTCGTCTCGACAGGTGAGGTCAAGCTGATCATTGCGGCAGTTGAGGCTTTGATAGGCGGTAGTTTCGTAGGGAATTTGCAGCCTCTCAGATGGCCTCCATGATATGTAATCCAATGCATCAGTCAACGAATCTCCCAAGAGCGATGTTTTCTCATAAGTTTGTTGCCAACTCGACCCGTTGGAATGCTACCTGCCCAACGCAGACTGTGGGGGATTGATCGCGCAGGCAGGATAGTGCCAACAGAGCGTTAGTCTGTGAACGCATGAGGTCGTGTCTATTTCTAGAGAAGCAAAACGCCAACGGAATACCTGTCCGGATTTCCAAAGGTGTTGTCTTTCCCCGTTGCGTTCTTGAGGTAGCAATAATCGCCTTCTGTCGGTATCGGACGGTAACGGCTTCTCGTTAGCTGGGTGTTCCCCTTGATCAAGACCAGCATGTTTGTGTGCGAAAGTACCCTAGGTAAACTTGGTATTGTTGCCACTCACCGTTTTTTACTATAGCAACACTCCTGCACAGTCCCATATCTGTTCCATCCTGTGCTCCTCCCGGTCTTTGCGGCCTGTTTTCCTGGTAAACAATATTGTACGTTGCGCAAGCATCAATACACGCTTCCAGCGTAGGCAGGTAAAGTTTCATAATGTCCAAAGTGTCTGGGTTGCCGTGGGGTGCTCCGGCCGGATAGTTCCTGTTACAGATGCGAACGAAGGATTGAACCTTTGTAAGGCCGCCCGGGTTAATCGCTACGGTCATGCTGTTTCCTGAGGCATCGAGGGGGGTGTATTGGGTGTTGTTAACGGAGGGACAGTTGTCGCTTGGAGCGGGCGAAGGACCGAAGGCGGTTAACTGCGTGCCAGTGGTGGTCGTTGGCGATGTCGTCGTCGTAAGTAGAGGAGAGGCTGATTCTGATTGCGATGGTGGACTAGCGATTGTTGCTGTTGTCGTGGTCGATGAGATGCTTGATCCGGAGATGGACAAGGATGATGGTGGTGATGCCTTGGACTGTGAAGAGTGTTGGCTTGCAGCCAGACCGCCGCCTATGCCTCCGCCAATGGCTCCAGCGAGCAACATGACTAACCCAATGACAACCGTCCAGAATACTGGCACTGACAATCCAAGCAGTTTTGTGTCTTGGGGTTGTTGCGGGTAGGCATCAGCTCCGCCTTCTAGCCCGGACGTAGCATAAGAGGGAAAATTTCCAAAGCTGCTGGGCTGTCCCTGCCTCTGCGGATGGTATGCTACTTCTAGATTGGAATGACCCGGGTTGTAGCATTTCGCGTTGATCATGTCAGGGTCCGCCATGATGTCATGGGAGATGTGGATTTGAAAAGAATGTGTAAAAGAACGGAAGTGGATGAAAAGAGAGCAGAACAGCCAGGCACACAAGAAGGAGAACATGGAAAGCGAGTGGACGCAGGATACCTCTACCTATTTGTTTCGTGTGTCTGATAGACCCCAATGAACCGTGCCGCCGCCTGAACACGAGATAGGCCATTTCTGGACGAACCAGATACCTACTCTCTGAACGAGAGAGCTTCATTGCTCAAGGAAGCTCTGCCTCATCGATGGCTTCATTCCGTGCCGCACAAAACCTGAGTACCTCATCGCCAGGCTCAGCCTTCCGCTTCAGCTCCAGCGCCGGAAATGCTGCGCTGAAACGTGGGGTCCTGGCGTGAATAACCATCGGCGAGTGTTTTCCAGAAGCATTGAGTGGCGCCCGTCTTTTCTCGATCCAGGTCCGGGAGACATCTAAGATCCGTCCGGCGGGTTCGACGGAACGAAGCATGAAAGCGCCGATGCCGTATGCTGAATGCCGATTTTGGTGGGTAAGACGGGAAGAGCCATTGCCCGTGATCGATGCAGGGGCCTGTGCTCCTTTTTGGGGGGGCTTTTCCCCGCCGGCAGGCACTGCAGGAACTGAATGCAGATGTAGGGCGAGACTCCACTTGAAGGCTCCCTATTTGAGTCCGTTGATTGGTCAGTCTCGTCCAGGACAGGAATATTTTGGGACCTTCCTGCACTGCACTGAACAAGCTTCAAGCTCCAACTGGGCTGTGCCCCCTGCGTCTACCATCGCTTCAGTTTTCTTCCCTTCCACCAGCCGGACCTGGGATAACCAAAACTAGGTATCTTATTGATTGATTGCGAATACCATCCCACCCACGGAAACATACCTACGTAGATTCTGCGATATTTCTCTTGGCATCTTCGCTAGTATATTCGATTCAGTCTCCCAGACCCAGATCTTGTCTTCTTGTCCTGCGCCTCTTTACTGCACCCTGCACCGAGCCAGGCACCGGTAACAACAACATCAACAAGTCATCAAGAAACAATACACACCCCCTGCGCCGGCGCGGATCGTCATAGTGGGGCACGCCGGACCGACAAGTGGTCATTCACGGCATCCGGGCCCAAGCTCCCGTTTCCGCCAGCACTCTCTCTTCCCGTCCCAACTTGAGCTGCACCTCTCTGTCAGGGACCCTTGCTTCCGTCCTACCAATCGGAATCCTTCCTTGTGGTATTCATTCAACATGCCCGTCGAAGTCTTCCTCATCACCGTCGTGCCTGCAGCCGATACCACCAAAGCCCGCTCGGTCCTCCACGGCTACACCGAGACGCGTCCCGTCACGCACCGTTTCACCCGTGTGCGGCACGTTCGTCGCCTCGACCAGTCTATCCGGGGCATCCCCATCCTGAGGTCCCTGCAGTCCTCGAACCCCAAGCCCGACAGCCTAGCACAATGGCAGGACCTGCACTCGACGCTGTCTAGGCAGCAATACATGCTGACTGAACGTGTCGATATAACCCAAGACGCCGAGGCTGCCGTGGCTGCTGGTCAGCCGGTGCCCATGTCGGAGCAGACGCAAAAAGGCGAAAGGATCCTACGCTTCAATGACTTTCCTGACCCTCCCAACCCCCGAGTCCCCCAAACGGTGATGCAGCGCAAACAAATCGACATCCGCGAGCCCGGCCCCTTGCTCGAGCAGCACATGGCCGATTCCGGCTTCTCCGTGGCCAACGAGTACATTGAAGAGACGTACCACTGGTGGGACAACAACAACCTCGAGTTCGTTCTGTGGAGGCAGTACAACGACCTTCCGAATCCCACTCCGGCGCCGCTTGTCCAAGCTCCCGATCAAGCGAACTGGATGGTGCCTGACATGAGCAAGATGGAGCCTGTGGCGCCTTTCTGGATGTTGTATGTGCGTGCCCTGGTAGATGCCAACCCGGTAGACAGGATGGCGGAAAGAATGGCGGAGGCGCATGGCAGGTTGGGAAAGGTGGAGAAGGAGCTGGAGGGCGTGTTCAGCTTTATGGTATTTGACCGCAGGGCGCTTGATACAAGGTATACGGGGGAGGACCCGGAGTAAGAAGTAGACTACCGAGCCTTGGGGGGAAAATATCGGTACGAGTGAAGAGGAAGATGGCGCCAAAGACGACGCGGTACTTCAAAATGTATAATTTCATGGTCAAACAATGATCATTAGCATCTGATGTAACCTATACGGGCTAGTTTTAACCCTCCATGATCAAAGAAACGACATTGACTTGATATCGAAACGCCTGGTCAAGCTGACCAAAGGTTTCGAGCCAACAAACGTGATCGGTTTTTAGTTTGCTCGCTGTCAAAAACAGCACCAGGAGGGAGGTACCGCGTCGGCTCTGGCCCCAGGTTAGTGTAGTATGTGTTTCGCTCGGGGTACAGAGCTAATACATAACCATTTGCGAAGGTTTTCACTTTGACAAGAAACTCTGCTCACCTCCTTTTTTCAGAGAAGAACATCTCGCATCGGTAATTGAATGGAATACCTTTACACTACAGGATGATACCGCTTGAAGTTTGGGGAAGAGGGGTTGGATTCGAGTAGCCATATACACACAGCTACACTAAGTAAGGTAGGTACTCCAGTGATCAAACCATCCATCTTTAGCGTAGCGGGACATCGGCTTAATCTCAATAACTACCTACCTCTATGTATTGTTATACGTAGTCAACTTGGCGATTGTAGTGTATGTGATAAATGGAAATGGTCAGTGGGTCCGACAGCGTGATGCCGGTAGTAACACTGACTCGTCCTCGCTCGAATTCCGCAAGTGCGGGATGGCCGCGCGACCTGTCTAGGTGATCGGCAGTCGGCAGGCCGCGGGTCGATCGGGGCGGGAAGTTCCACTTTTACAAACCGTCCATCCGATTGGCGAGTTCCGCGCACTGGCACCCGACGCTACCTATTCGAATCTAGTGTACTGTACTGTGTCACCATAGTACATTTCAATTGCGCCGCGGCGGCCATTCTTCGGCTGTTCATTTTTCGTTTCCCTATTTCCCTACCTACGTACGGCGTCACCGCTTCGTTATACGAACTCCGTCGTGTCGCTCAATGAAACAGCATCATGATGTTCATTGTTCCTTCTCGAATTCTCAAACTTGAGTTCCATTCTACGAAAACGGGGCGAGTCCCGTCGACGCTCACCAGGTCGGGTGCAACACAACTTGGACACTAGTCGGCCGATCGTCTCGTCGAGCCCCGCACACCGATACGACGCTACGCTACCGTACCGAGGCTTAGTACTTACATGCCTCGCTACACTACATTCTTAGACGACGCTAAGCACTGGACACACGACGCTCAGTCCCGATCGATAGTCTCAATGTCCAGCTACCTACGCAGAAGTATGGCAGCGTGTGACGTACAGGAGGAATGAATGTACCTTGGCTATAAGTAGGTAAGTGTCCTTACAGGGCGGATATAGTTGCCTATCAAGAAAAGTGGCAAGGCAGTCAGAGCTAATGATCACCAACGGTGTTACCAGGAACGAAAAGGATGGACGAAAGCCGGACGTTCAGAAATAACATAGCCCGCTCAGCCATGGAAGCAGCCGAAGCAACGTTGGCGCCTGAAACATCCCCTGCAGAATCCACCTCGGCAGCCCCAGAACGCTAGAGACAGCCATCCATCAGGTCTTCAGCGTCATGGTGGTGAAACTCAGAGAACACAGGAGCCGACCGTCCATGCCAGTGAGCCAACGGCGGGCCAAGGAGCCCAATCGTCGCCATTGAGACCGCACCCACCAGTAGCAGATCTTATACTACGAAGCCATCACGTCTCTTGACCGATCTGGAATCTTGGACGAAGATGTCAACATCGATTTCATCATCCACACATCGACCGTTGAAAGAGCCCCGCAGCATGCAGGCCGCCAGGCCCCCGCCGCCGACCCTAGATCCCAGTACACTGTAGCGTCACATCCAAGACACTTCAAACGGTCAACTCCTGGCGACAGACAGGACCCCAGGCCGGCATTCCCCTTCCCTGGCAACTCTTTCCAACACTGAACCACACCTCATGTTCCAACGGCAAGCTAAAGTCAAGCTCTTCTCATCTAACTTCAACTCCTCCGCCCTCCATTTTCCAGTTCAATTGCCTTTTATGTCGATCGATTCGAGATGGTCTACGGCGGAAAGCCCTCGCGGGGCTGTCGAACATGTCGCGCTCGCCGTATCAAGGTACGTCGTGCTCTTGCACGCCCCGGCTTTTTCCCTTGCGCGGACGACTGACTGACCGATTTCCCCCCTTCTCGCAGTGCGATGAAGGTAAACCAACATGCAAGCAATGCGCAAAGTCAAAGCGTGAATGCGCCGGCTATCGAAACGAATTTGAGATCGTCCACCGTGACCAGACAAAGTCTACCGTCCGCCGAATGACTAAAGCTCTCAACAAGTCTCGCTCTACTACCACCTCGACCCTGCCGAGCCCCCGTCCGTCTCCCACGCGACAACAAACGCCCGATCCCATCGCGACGCTCACAGTCCCCCTCGCTCAACGCGCATTCTGCTATTTTGCCTCCAATTTCCTTTACGTGCCGCTGGGCCACATGCCACATGGTCATATGGACTACCTCGTGCCTTTGATCGACTGCGCACCCCCCGATAGCGCCCTCCGAAGCGCCTTCAATGCTTGTGCTATAGCCGCCCTCGGGAATAGAGAAAAAGCAAACAATGTCAACCTCACCAATCTTTCTCTCCGAGAACACACTGTGGCCCTGGCAAAGACGCATGCCGCCCTGGGGAATCCCGCCACTGCCAGTTCCGATGCAACGCTCGCTACAGTGCTTCTGCTGGGTTTGTACGAGGTTCGTCTGTCAACTGCGACTTTCTCCATCTGCGTGGCCCATCCGCTAACGGTTGGCTTGAACAGAGCATCACGGCGATCAAGGAGTCGCGCATGCTGGCATGGCGTTCACACGTTGACGGAGCAATTCAGATTGTCAAGCTGCGAGGCCGAGAACAAATGCGCAGCACCAAAACCGGAATGCTCTTGTTCCAAGCAGTGAGGCACCAAGTGGTACGAACCGCGCTTTCTCCCCAGACAAGCACATACTGACGGCAGGCATACACAGCTCGGCCGCGCACTAACATCGGGTACGCCCCCGCCACTAGGGTCCGATTGGTGGATGGACGACATAGATGATGGGAGCCATCTCTTGCCTGGTGCCGCCATGCACCGCTTCGCCCTTCGAGCCAGTGAACTGCGAGCCGAGGCAGCTGCTCTATTGAATGGTATCACGCGGACCGTCGAGAATATCGCACTGATGCAAAACATGGCCCATCGAGTGTATTCGCTAGACCAAGAGATAGCTTCCTGTCTTCTTGCTCTGCCGCCAAACCTACGCTTCAAGACGCTATGCTGGCTATCCTACGAGGAGGTAGGTTTATCACCTGGGCGACCGAACAACTACTCCAAACTCGAAGTATTCCCCGGCCGTGTGGACATGTACCCCGACTTTGTAACCGCCCGTACATGGAACACTGCGCGCACCATACGCCTTGTGCTAGCCTCCCTCGGCATCCGCCTAGCAGCATGGCTCAACATGCCCGCCGACTATCGCACAACTGCCGAGTATGCCAGGTCGAAAGCCATCTGTGAAGACACCATTGCCGACGTCATTTCCTCGGTTCCATACCATCTCGGATGGCACACCAAGCAACAGGGTCTGTTCGGCAACGATACTGACCGCTCTGGCTTCGTTTGTGGTCACGAGGATGCGATCAAGGCCCTTCCAGCTTGGTTCCTGGTCTGGGCCCTGACTTGTGTCAAAAACCATGATATGGCGACTGACGAGCAGCGCATTTGGGTGAAGGGCCGGCTTCGGTACATTGCCGACCATGTCGGTATGAAGTATGCCAACCTCGTTAACGACGTAGGTTATTTCCTGCCCTCCTAAGTTGCACCTTGTCATTACTTGCTTGACTAACGCCCAACGTCCGACAGCTTGAACTTCGCTTCCCGTCAATGTTCATCCGCCAGGATGGCACCATGCCTTCGGCTGATCCACTGAGGGCCGGGACGTCCAAAGGCCGCCCAGACCCTGTAAGCGCAACGCGCATCGCCGTCACTACTCCTCGGACTCCTGAAAGCATGGTTTCTGGAGGAAGGCGTCCGTCGCCTTGATAGGATGACGTTTAGGTTCATTTTTCGATCCCTCTACCATAACACCAGATCAGGAACCACATGGACCGGCCGGAAGATATTCCCGGCGCGGTGAACGGTAGAGGCATGCAACTACTTTGCTGCAAAATGTCGTTGCTTCAATTGATGAGGAAACGAGGACCTCCGGTTGAACAACGCCTTATGGCCATCAAAACTAGAGTGGGAGCCCTTGCCTTCCGATAGCCAATCGGCCAAGAGCTAACCCAGGCATTTAACAGCATAGAAACCATGAGCTTCTGCCGGTAGTTTCGGTGCTACCACAACCGACAACGCGGCTCACTGTCGAAATCGACTTGCATATACCCTAAACCCAGCCTCGTTGACGCGGCATTGAAATCCCGGGTGGAAAGCGACATTTGCATTTTTTATTTTTTTCATTTTCCAGTAACGACTGGTGCAGAAGACAGAAGGATTATTAGCAAACGTTCGGAAGACGGACCGGTTTTACCTTCGAGTCGACATGCCAATCGCTCCCAGCCACCGGGCAGTTCAATGTTCAGCACGTACAGTAGATCTGTTGAGCTTGCAATCCAAAGAATGACTTTTTCAACCTTCGGCACTGCGTATTCTTGCCCTCTTTATCTTGCTTTTTTCCTACTTCTTCGTAGCAGTGCCCATCAAGAACATGCTCAACAATGTCCTTGAGCTCGTACATCAAGTGCAGCCCTACCTTCGCGCAGCTCAACTGTATACCTCAAGATAAAGCTTCTGGAAGATGAGATCCAAACCCTCGAGAACTCTGTTGCAAGCGCCAACAGTCCACGAGTTGCCTACACCAACTCGGGATCGGGTTTCCAGTCATTTCATTCTGGCCGTGGCACTCAGAACAACAACAATGGTAGCGGGTTGTTCGTTAACGGCTCCTTTCCGTATCCGCAAACTTCCACTGGGGAGGATCTCTTCAGCCAGCTGAGCCAAAACCTGCTCCCTGATAGCCAAACCTCAGGGTGCACATGTTCGGCTTGATTAGGTACCTACCTAGGTACCTATTTGCGGGACACAACCTCCTAACTCTGTCCATCTGGCAGAAGCCCCGCGGAGAGCCAACGGCAGGCTATCTAAGATGTTGCTGGGGAGCCCATGTCTCTGACCGAAAGCACTGCAGTGGCGTGTGTTCGCGATGTTTCAGTCTGATGCCCTTTATAACGGCCCATCCCCTTCCGTGTCGTTTTCGGGAGCTGGGGGCGCTCTTTCTTTACCAGGGCAGAACGATCGACGGTGCTTCAGCTAGAGGTAAGTACGTTGCCTACACTCAGCCACCGCCATACTTCTCGCTTACCTACTACGTATCTTTAACCAGTGTTCAGCATGATCCTGTGGTTGCGTCGGGTTGCACCGCTTCGGTGGGCACATGATCGCGGTGAGCTGACTCCTTTAACGCTGCCAGTGAGTGTTTGGGTGATCTCCGTTCGGCGTCCGCTCCCACTGCTACCCTCGGCGCGTGACGTCATGCATGCCTTTCCCTTCCCGACTCCGATTTTCAACGGCCCCGTTTAACGGTGCAACGGCGCATCCCCTCCTCTCATTACAACGAAGAAACCCGACATCCGGAAGCCAGCCCTTCCCGTAAACCAAAATGTCACCAACCGTCGATCCCGCCATCCTCCGCGCTCTGGCCCTGGATCCCAACTCCGCCTCCGCCAGCATCACGTCCCACGGCGGCTCCGGCTTCTCCTCGACTTATAAGCTCCTCATAACCACTCCTGATGACAACAACAAAAGGGCATACTTTGTCAAAACCGGCACCGGTCCCGACGCCGCCGCCATGTTCCTTGGGGAACACCACTCCCTCAATGCGATCCATTCCGCCATCCCCTCCTTCTGTCCACGCTCTTATGCCAACGGGACCATGTCCTCCAACTCTAACCAGCATTTCTTGGTGACTGATTTCCTCAATCTCCGCTCTAGCGGTGGTTCGGCCAGATCTGGCAGTGGTGAATCATTTGCAGCAAAGCTGGCCAAGATGCACACCATCCCCGCCCCGATCCCCGAGGGGTACGACAAGCCCATGTTCGGCTTTCCCGTCCCTACATACTGCGGAGCGACGGAGCAGGACAATACCTGGAAGGAGGACTGGGCAGAGTTCTACGCTGAAAACCGGTTACGCCATGTGCTGAAAGAAGGTGAGAAGATAAATGGAAAAAGCAAAGAGTTGAGCGACGCGGTGGACAAGGTCGCATCAAAGGTGGTGCCCAGACTTTTGGGGGAACAGACGATAGGAAAGGTGACGCCGGTGTTGATACATGGGGATTTGTGGAGTGGGAATCAGGGACGGGGTAGGTTTTCCGAGGAAGGGGGCGTTGAGGAGGTCATCTATGACCCGGCAGCGGTTTATGGGCACTCGGAGTATGAGCTGGGCATCATGAAGATGTTTGGCGGGTTTGGCGGGGGGGTTTGGAAGGAGTATGGGGAGTTGATGCCGAAGCAGGAACCAAAAGAGGAGTGGGAGGATCGAATTGCCTTGTATGAGCTGTGAGTGTTGCGGTGATCTGACCTGCCTGCTGAGATGTTGTGAGGGGTGTGTTTTGCTAATGGGGCTCGACAGGTACCACCATTTGAACCACTATGCGTTGTTTGGAGGCGGGTATCGCGGCGGCGCCATGTCCATTATGAAGAAGCTTATTGCAAAGTACAGTCCAATGCTGGTTTGATTGTTAGCTTGGTACACCAGGCACTCCTGCTGTACAATAAACATAGTGTACTAGACAAAATCTATTTCGAATAGGCCTAAAGGTTATATGGATAAATTAAAAAGTATCAGTTGGATTTGATTTGGCATTTTGAATGTTAGAGATGGCGTGCCCAAGGTAAGATTATACATTAGTTAGCCATGAAAACGCATAGGAAAGTTGACACGATGTCTCGAACTAACAAACAAACCAGTACTGGACTGTATGCGTAGCTGGCACTGGATGTTCGACTTGGCTGGCGAATGGTCCTCAGAAACCGAACATGTGAAAGTCCGCATATCAATTTCGAGTATCAGGTACTCATCGCGCATCCATGTGTCTTTGTGATACCGTCAAACCCAACATTATTGAAATGTCAAAATGTGTTGATGTGGTGTGGGTATGGTCTGGCACCAGTCGTCTGTTCAATGCTAGGATTGATGAAGAGCGCGTTGGTCCATTGTTTGATGCTCGGCCAAAGATATTCTAGGGGCCTAAAGTAGACATTAGAAGCAACGTGGCCCTCTACTAACAGATTTAAGAGAAGCCCAATGCGAAATCTGTTAGTGGTCTCGTGTGATAAATGGCCATTGTTGATCGCATTTCGCAAAGACGCCATCCATAACATGTTCTAGCTGATAACGAAATGAAGAGCGATTAGTTGTCGCTAAAGCTGGAGAAAACTACATGATGACTGACAGAAGCCAGCCAGCTGGTCTCAAGACTCACATCCAACACGTGGAAATGTCAGGTCGAGACAACTGAAACCCCCATAGCGTGATGTCTCTCTTTGTGAGTCCTCTCAAACTGACACTTTTTGACACGCCGGCATCCATCCGATCGATTGCATGTTCACATGGACGTCATCCGTCTCCCAGCGATAATTGTTAAGGATAGCTTGCCGTGCACAGACCACACATGTCACTGTCCAGGTGTTCAATGCATGTCATTGCAGCCGCCAAGAGGTGTCGTTCCCCTGTCAGCGAGTGACAGCAACGATCCACATCATCTTGTGAGAGCTCCATTCTGAGAAGCGACCAGACCATGAACCCACATCCAATCCATTGACGGGCAGCTTGTAGGTTCCCCCTTTGGACACCCTTTGGGCCTCGATTCTCTGCTTGACAGTTGGCACTCGATACCACCCCCTCCTCAGCCCGAAGCGTGTGGTCCACGACGACGGGACAGCAGCAGCAACACTAGAAGCACCACCAAGTCGGACCACACCCCTCCCCTCCCCTCCCCCCTCTTCTTCTTATTCTTCTTCTTCTTTGCTGTTGTACAGCCAACTTTCTAATATCACCACCACCCATTCCCTTCTTCTTCCACTTCTCCTTCTTCCTCTCTCTCAGTCTGTCTTGTTGCTACCTACCCGCCCTCTCCCCGTCGCGTCGTCCGTCCTCTTCTCCCGGCCGCCACCCCAGCCAGACAACCAACCACGCGCCGCATCATACTAGACATCACGAAACCACCGCCATGAACGGCCACTTCGCCGCCGTCGACAACGGCAACGGGTCGTCGCCCGACAGCAACGCCCACAACTTTGAACACGGCATCCAGGTCATCAACGAGGACAAGCAATACAACACCAACCTCAATGAGTACCTCAACGAGACACACGTTGCCGAGGCCGGCTTCAACTACCACCTCATCTCCGTCTTCGGCTCCCAGTCCACCGGCAAGTCGACCCTTCTGAACCACCTGTTCGGCACCCAGTTCAGCGTCATGTCCGAGCGAGAGCGTCGCCAGACTACAAAGGGCATCTGGATGTCCAAGAACAAGAACGAGGGAAAGATGGCCGACAACATCCTGGTCATGGACGTCGAAGGTACCGATGGTCGCGAGCGTGGCGAGGACCAGGATTTCGAGCGCAAGAGTGCCCTCTTCGCCCTTGCTACGAGTGAGGTCTTGATCGTCAACATCTGGGAACACCAGGTTGGTCTGTACCAGGGCGCAAACATGGGCCTGCTCAAGACTGTTTTTGAGGTCAATATGCAGTTGTTCTTGAAGGATAAGCAGTAGGTTTCCTGTGATGCGCCCCTAATCGGTGTTCACTTACTAACAGTTTAGAAACCAAACCCGCTCCCTCCTCTTCTTCGTTATCCGCGACCATATCGGCGTTACCCCTCTCGCAAACTTGCGCAACACCTTGATCCAGGATCTGACCCACATCTGGTCCTCCATCTCCAAGCCCGCCGGCCTCGAGAACTCCAAGATCGAGGACTACTTCGACTTTGCCTTTGCCGCCCTCCCGCACAAAATCCTGCAACCCGATAAGTTCATCTCCGAGGTTGAAAATCTCGGCTCCCGCTTCATTGCCGGCCACCGCAACAAGGACTCAGATGCCACCGACGACCAAGAACTCACCGGCGGCGTCTTCCTCCCCGAATACCATCGCCGTATCCCTGCCGACGGCCTCTCCATCTACGCCGAGGGCATCTGGGATCAGATCGTCTCCAACAAGGATCTCGACTTGCCCACGCAACAAGAACTTCTCGCGCAGTTCCGCTGTGACGAGATTGCGCGCGAGGTGCAAATCGCCTTTGACGCCGCCATTGCTCCCCTCGAAGAACAACAGGCCGAGTCCACCCGCGCCGGCAAGCCCGCCGTCCTACCCGATCTCGGTCAAATCGGCGCCGAGGCCCGTGAGAAGTGCGTCAAGAACTTTGAGACTCAGGCCTCTCGCTACCACAAGGGCGTGTACACCACGAAGCGCGCCGAGCTCGAGGACAAAATCGACAACCGCCTCAAGGCTCTTTACCAAGCCCATCTCACCGCCGCTCACAAGGCGGGCGTGACTGCCTTCTCCGATGCCGTCACCAACGCTGTCAAGGCAGGGCAAAAAGCGGGCGGTGCTTACGAGTTCGCCGAGATTGTCGAGAAGCAAAAGACCAAGACTCTTGAAATCTTCAAGAAGGAGGCGCAGTCCCTCGCCATCCCCGGAGTGGCCTGGTCCAACTTCAAGCCACAGTACCTCATCTTTGAAAAGGAGCTCGACGAAGTCTCTGCGCGCTTGCGCAAGGAGGAGATGCGCCGCTTGGCGATTCGTGTAGAGCGGTGGGTCAAGTCCCGCCTAGGCGACGCGATTGGGCTGGAATTCAACAAACTCGGGTCCGGTCGTGGAGGGTCTGGTGCTCCGGAGTCTGGTGAGAAGCCCGCTACCGAGAAGGACATTTGGGATCGCGTATGGAAGGCCTTTATCAGCATCGTGGGTGAAGCCGAGGGCAGGTTTACCGATCGCGCCAAGAGCTTCGAAGCTAGCGACGATGAAGTCCAAGTCGGCCTCTGGCGCCTCCGCCGCAAGTCCTGGGTCGCGCTGCGCGAGAAGATCGAAGAAGAAGTAATGGAGTCCAACATTCTCATGAAGCTGCGCGAAAACTTCGAAGACAAGTTCCGCTACGACGAAGATGGCGTACCACGCATTTGGCGGCCGTCAGATGACATCGAAGGGATTTACACGCGCGCGCGCGAGTCAACGCTCGGTCTTGTCCCGCTGCTATCCCGCTTCCGCCTGACATCCACCAGTGCCCCTCCGGACTTGATCGAGTTTGTCGGTCCCCAACCGCACGGCGTCGAGCCAGGTGATGAAGAGGACCTGACGCCGATTGGTGGCGTTGACGAGGACGAGGGTAAGTCCCTCGAGGAGGAGACGACGATTTTGAGCGAGCCCAAGAAGCAGGATTTGGTGGTGAGGTTTAAGAAGATGGCAGATGGAGTGTATGTCGAAGCCAAGAGGAGCGCGATTGGCGGGATCACGCAGGTGCCGCTCTACTTTTATGCTGTGTTGTTGGTCCTGGGTTGGAACGAGTTCGTTATGGGTAAGCTTTCCTCCTCCGCCTTTTCTCTTTCTTTTACTCTTCTTGACCCGAGCACTAACCAACCGCAAACAGTCCTCCGTAACCCGATCCTCTTTCTCCTCCTCCTGCTTATCAGCGGCGGCACCTACGTCGCCTACAGCCTCAACCTCCTTGGGCCAATGATGCAGATGGCCAATGCCGCTTCCACACAAGGCATGGAGATCGGCAAGGCCAAGTTGAGGGACTTTTTGGAGAACCACGAGGGAGCCAGGGGGGCTCTGGGGATGCCTCCAAAGAACGCTCAGAGAGTTGAGAGTGGAATCAGCATGGATACGCTGGATAGCAACGGCAAGAGGAAGGAGACAGGGCTGCGGGCTGAGGATGACATCTAGATGATATCGGAGAGGTAAACCCTGTCCGGAAGGAAACAAGTGGGGAAAAAAGGAGTTGAGTGTACCGAGTTACAGCCAGCAAGCGGATGATCACCTGTTGTAGGAGTGTTAGTGCCTGGGTGGGTTGGTATGGTATAGAAAGCTATAAAGTCACTTCATGTTGTTGTTTACCTAGATATAGGAGTTGCTATCCCTTTTGGTTTATCATTTGGGTTCATCTAACGTCTACTCTACACGTCCCTCACATCTCCAGTTTCGAGACTGAGCTTCTGGGTTTTTCCGCTTGTGTCTGAACGTGCCAGTTGGTGCCCTCAGCCTCAGGAGAACCTGACCGTCGAACGTAATGGACATCATGGCAGACGAGTTTGTAGCACGCATGTGAATGACAATGTTCGCTCCCATCTTTGAATTTACTAAGCCTGCTTCTGATATCTATAGTTTCCAGCCTGCCTCAGCTTATCCACTTGCGCAGCAATCCGGTAATGCTGCCGACGGCAACAGCAATCTATAATAGGACATGAACGGTAGAAAACATAAGATTCGAGCCAATGTAATACAAGAACAAAAACAGGAGAAAAGCGCCCCCTCCAATACCCCATTTTAAACTCCAATCCCAATCAGCAGAAGCAGAGCAGAGAGGTAAGTAACCTGACAGCGCGGCTTGTGAACACTGACGACAGGGAAATGAATAGCAGGGAGTAGGAAAGGTACTCAAGCAAGCATCTTTGTGTGTTTATGTCACTTCTGTGACACTGAGATTTCCCAATGACTGCACAACCTGAAAAACCGGGAACTCGGACAAGAAGACGAAATAACAAGCGAAGAATTGGACCCAAGAAATGCCGGACACTCAAAGACCAAGATGACCGACCGGTAGAGCGAACGACAGGCTAAGGTAGGTAACCAGCAACTATCATGACAAGGAAAGAAAGCCAACAATTGCTTGATTGAACTACGCCCAAAACAGCGAAACAAGGGAGGTTCAAGCATCCGAACAACTCACTCCCCCTGTATACTTCGACTCCATTCAAACATGCCATCACCTAAGCAGAAGCAGAAGCGGCAGCAGATGTGTCCAACATGGAGTTTTCTGCCCCACTGACACCTTCCTCGCCCTCCGAGGATGGCCTAACCTGCACCTCGCACCCTTGCGAGAAGAAGACGCGAGCAGGCTGGTCGTAGTCGTTTTCAATCGAGTAGTAGTTGCCTGTTTTCGTGCGTCAGTGTCAGTGTCAGTTCCGTCAACAACATATCAGAGTACCAATAGCGTGGGAAGGTGATGGCCAAAAAAGAAAAAGAAAAAGAAGAAAAAAACATACCCCTCGGCACAAACCACATCCCCCCCTTCCCAATCCTAAACACCGTCTCATTCACTGTCACCAACACTCTCCCCGTATACACAAAAAAGGTCATAAACATTTTACGTGAGTTCTTGGGCCTCTTGACCGCTCCGGGGGGCAGATCCACCACGCCCGCGCCAAAGAAGCCTTCGTTGACCGTCTTGGCATACCTAAACGCCGCGTCCTTGACTTTCTGCGTGCGAATGGCTCGGCCCGAAATAGCGAGCTGCTTCTCCTGCACTTCGACCTCGTCGTCCAACGCGGGCGGGTGGAACTCGTGTTGCGGGTACCAGGTGACGACATCGCCTCCGAGAATGCCGGGGTTGAGTTCCCAGGGTTCTGGAGGGGAAGGGTCTTCGTCTCTTTGGGCCCGGCGGGAGGTGCCACCAGCGGCAGCATTGTTGCCACCGCGCTTGGTACCCCGGCCACGGCTGCGAGAGAAATCCACGACTTCTTCTTCCACGCGCACGACTTCTTTGATGGTGGGCAGAACGAATTTCCTCTTGCGCGCCACCTCCCCGGCACTAGATCCCTTGGAGGCCTTGGGAGCGTGGTCGGCGACGAATTCGTCTTCCTCGTATTCGTAGTCGACGTGCTCGTTGCGCCAGTAAGCGAGGGGCTTGAAGGAGTGGCGACCGGAACGGGTGCGGATGATGGCGTTGCTGTCGCCGGGGACTTCGCGCCTGTTGATGACGAGACCGCGAGATTTGGGGAGGGGAGGGCCGCGGGGAATGGCAATGGAGGTATCGGCATCGGCGGCGGGTGCGGGAGAGGGTTGGCGCTTGCGGCCACCTTTCGGTTTCGTGGACTTGGTGGCCTTGGTGACCTTCTCGTTGACGGGTTCGGCGGCGGGGGTTGGGGCTCTACCCTTTCCTTTGGCGGCCCTGGATCGCGAGGGACCGGCTTGAACGGGTTCTGGTTCTGGTTCCTTGACTTCTTCTGGCGCAGGGGTGAGTGATTTCCTCGGCCTTCCTCTGCCTTTGGCGGGTGCAGGCGCGGTCTCGGTACGTTGGCGCTTGGGTTGGCGACTGGAGGAGGACTCTTCAGCATCGGTAGCAGGTTCTTCCACGGTGCGCCGTTTCCTGCCTGGTTTGGCTGCGGGGGCCGGTTCTTCCACGGCTGCGGCCTTGCCCTTGGCTCCCCTTCCTCGCTTTCCAGCAACCTGGGGCGTGACTTCTTCTGGTTCTCCCTCTGCGTCTTTCTCTTCTTCCCGCTCCTCCTCTTCTACTACGGGCGCAGCAGGTTTCCGTCCACGCTTTACCGCTGCGGGTGCTGGTGAGGGTTCCTTGGCCTTGGGTTTCCTTCCAGGCTTCTTCTTGGCGGCGGGCACAGGCACAGCTTCGGGAGCTTCCTCTGGTTCCTCCTCTTCCTGGTCTGCCCGCTGCTCCTCCTCAACTTCCCCGTTATCCTCCAACATGGCCATAGACTCCTCAATGAACGCATCAGTCTCATCCGGCACCGCAGTGTTTTCTTGCTCCTCTTCCTCCGCTTCATCGTGATAGCCATTTAGCCCGTTGACGCCGTTCGTCGTAGTCGGTTGAGACAGGGAGCGTCCACCAGCCTTCAGAGCCTCAAAGTTCAGTCTCCGCCTGGCAGTGTTGATATCTTCTGCAGGCTGGGAAGAGGAACCGCGATCGTAGTTTTCTTTGTTGGCGCCAAGGGATCCGCGAGTGGGCGATGAGCTGCGCGCCATTAGACGGTTCCGCGCGGGCGAGTTGACGACAACCTTGACCGGGGATCGGTTGGTGCGGCTGACGGGGAGGGGAAGTCGGCTGGCGTTGCCGTTAAGGAGAGCTGCTGGGGCGATGCCGGAGGCTATTTCACGGAATAGAGTCAGCAATCACGCGGCGTGTTGGATGTCCGTGTGACTATGTTGGGAAAACGTACTTGTGGTGATGTCCATGTCCTCGCTATCTGCCCTACCATCCTCCGAGGCGCCGCCGTCTTCGTCGTCTTCGCCTTCGTCTTCATCGCGGTCCTCGGTCGGCTTGTGGGGAGAGGAAAAGAGGTCCTCAAGGGGTTGCATGCCATGTTCGTCGCGGATGCCCGAGTCTTTTAGGGTGACACCGGTTTTGCTGGAGAGTCTGTTAGCATACCCAGGTATCCTCGGAGAGATGAAGAGAGAGACCCGTGAGCGCATACCGGCCAGCAACTCCCAACTCGTACACATGCTCTGGCTCGGGGAACAGACTGCGCCGCGCTCCTGACGGCCGTGGCGCCATCTTGTTGATTTGTTGTCTGTCGTCGGGATAATGCTGACTTTCGTCCGCCCTTCAGTCGCTTGTCGCGTGTTGTTGCACGTGGGTGCGTGTGTACTAAGTGTGAAGAGAGCAATTGAAGTGTTTGCGCGGGCGGCCGAAGGAGCAGGCAACTAACAGCAGATTGCACAACTGAATGGAGATGTAACCAAGCAGCAGGCAAATAATCGATGGCGGGATGCTGCTGAAGGTTTCTCAATGGAAAGATTACTTAGGTGTTGATGCTGGGCGTGTCGTGCTTCTGCAGTGCCCGTTGCCCACTGGAAAGAGACCGTGACGGGGAGACCAGACCACCTCCAGGGTGTGGAGACCTTGGGCTCGACGGGAGTGGGGCATCAGCTCTGAGACATGGAGCTTGTCATTGGTCGGCGCGCTACCAGACGCGTTCCCCAACGTCAACTTTGTTTTCTGTGACAACCATTAATTCATACAAGCATCCAATTCTTGCCCACGCAGCGCCTCGAGTCTTCGCACAACCGTATCCGCCCTCCATTTCACAATAAAAACCACTATTAGTCACAACAACAGCCCGTACCGACCCCAACGACCAGCCACCATGGCCGACATCCAAGACGAAGCAGGACCCTTCCTGCCCCCAACCATCTCCCCTCCCGCCCTCCTTTCCGGCGTTTCTCAAACCTACTTCTCGCCAATTCCTCCTCAACTCCTCGCCGACAACACCCCATGCTGCCTAGGCGTTGACGAAGCCGGCCGTGGTCCTGTCCTTGGCCCCATGGTCTACTCGGCCTTCTACCTCCCTCTCACGCTCTCCGACCCGCTCCTAAAACAGAAGCATAGCTTTGACGACTCCAAAGTCCTGACTCCTGCCGTTCGCCTATCCCTAATGAAGGAACTCTGCACCAAAGATACCGAGCTACACGACAACTGCGGGTATGCAACGTCGTCGTTGAGTCCGTTGTCAATCTCGAGCGGTATGCTCAAAGCCAGCAAAGCCCAGATCTACAACCTCAACCAACAAGCCATGGACGCCACCATTGCTCTGATAAAGGGTATCTACGAACGGGGCGTCAATGTTACGGATATCTTTATCGACACGATTGGACAGCCGGCGGCATATCAAAAGAAGTTGGAACGGGTGTTCCCGACAGCCAAGATTACGGTCGCGAAGAAGGCTGATTCGCTGTACCCCGTGGTGTCGGCGGCGTCAGTAGTGGCCAAGGTTACAAGAGATATTGCGCTCGAGGTCTTGTGGGCGGATCGGAGTAAGCAGATGCGGAAGAGGAAAAGGGACGACGAGGCTGGGCTTGAGAAGCGGGCAAAGCTGGAGAGAGGGGATACAACAGGCACAAATGGCACAGATGCTATGGATGTTGACGAGCCATCACAAACTCAAAACGGTTCGCCAAAAGCAGCAGAAGAGGAGGACGAGGAAGAGGAGGTGGAGACAAACGAAGCGATGGCATGGGGCTCTGGCTACCCCTCCGACAGCAAATGCGTCTCTTGGCTCAAGCAGAACATGCATCCGGTTTTCGGCTGGGGTCCTGAATGCCGATTCTCTTGGGGAACAGCAAAAGACATGTTGGAAACCAAGGGAGGGGTGAAGGTGGATTGGCCGGAGGAAGAGGAGGAGGAGACACAAAAGTTAACCGACTTCTTCATGGCCAAGAAAGACCAAGAAGAGGTGGATGTGGATGAGTTAGGGACATGGTTCGGTGCGCCTGCTGGGGTAGAATGTTTCTAGGTGTAGTAGTTCCCTTCCAGATCTTCTGTCAGTCAATGCCTCCCCCTTTATGTCGTGTCAACGATTGCGTGTTAACCGACATCCTCCCAGGTTTCTCAAAACAACCAAGTGACTGGAACTTCTAATACTAAGTTCGACCCAGGCAAATGGTCGTCAAAATAAACCAAACACATTACGCTTAATACAATACACCCCGGGCATACTCTTATCACGCATCCAAGCATCTTCAGTCTACCCTTGAATCTGAATTCTAGGCAGTTCCTAAATGGAAGAATCTCTAAACGACTCGGGCTGATGCGTTCGGTTGATTTTTACGACCGCTCGCCAGCGTAGCAGCTCGGCAATCATCACTCATCGCCTATCACTCCTTCCTCGGCACTCGTTACTCGTCACTGATGGTCTCCAATCTCTCCCGCGCCCAACTGCCGACTAACTCCGATGCACAAATACCTCTACATATTTGTTCAGCAGACTTCGGACATCCGGATAGATCAAGCGCCACAATCGTGAGCAACACAGGCCGTAATGACCAAGAAGCTACCTCTAGCCCGCGAAATGCGAGGCAGCAGTGGATCACGACAGAGCATGCAGCCACGGCCTGACCGAGCAAACCCATCCTATCGTCAATGGATGTGATTATGAATCACAACCGCCTCTCCCTTGAATCATGCAGCTACCGCTTTCTAAACGAGTCCCAAAGTCTTCCGTCAACCAACGCCCAGTACCGTATTTAAAGGACTCTTGTTCCCACCCAAATGACCATTGACCTTCCTCATTTGCAAACCCTGCTGAAACTCAACAACACGACCCCAACCACAACACCAAACCCGAAAATCCAAAATGTCTTGGCGACCACCACCCATGTCCTCCACTGCGCGCCTCATTGTTCCCTTGCGCACCCCTATCCACACCTCCGATGACGCCTGTAACAACGCCGTCGTCCAGTTGCCGGCCTTTTGCCAGCACACCGGTCTTCAGGTCTATGCCTACGCAACCAACTCTGACGCCCCCAGCCCTTTGGCGACTGCTGTGAACGTCCAGTTGAGCTCGATTCCGGTGGAAGATGAGGGTTGGAGCCGGTATGTGGTCTTGAATGGGTTGACGCTTCCTCGGATTGGGAGGTGGAGGGTGTTTCTTTATGGGGTGGTCCGTAGTGAGGAGGTCTGGAGGATTCCGGCGGGCGATGTGCAGGTGGAAATTGCGTTCGTGGATGTGGGTGGAGGTCCGTATCTGTGTAAGTGCTTTCTATTGTCCACAGGGCTTGCCTGGGTTCCATGATGGACGCATGCTGATGTAAGTGCCTGCTAGCGTATTCGGAGACGCAGACGTTAAGATATATCGGGATGTGGTGGGTGTCCTAAGGGAGCCCACCCATCGAAATGTTCCTTGTTACTCTACATATGGATGGGTCTGACGGGTTACATCCGTGATCGTGATCATGCAGTGGTAGTGCATCAGAACTGCCTCTCTCCCTCACGGCACGGATAGAGACACGAAGTTTGGAACCGTAGTTACTGCCTTTTGACACTGCCGCGTCTACCACGGACAATATTATTCATATGTGTGTGTCCCTCCTTCTACTCAGACTTCCATCAATATCAGTCAGCACAATTCTGGTAACTAATTGGGCTTCCACAAACACCAAGTCTGACGATGACGACTAGCTGGTAGTAGAGTCTTAATCAAAGGGACAGGAAAAGAAAGAAAGAAAAAAAAAAAAAAAAAAAAAAGAAAAAAAAAAAAGAGAAGCCAACAGATAGCACAGCCGGTTGCTTGGTTCAACTGGCCCAGTAGCCCGCCAGTGTACAAATCCCGCGGTGTACGACATGGACGGCACGCTGTCGGCCTTTGTCTTTGTTGAAAAGAACCTCATGATCTGCCCCGGCCGCGAATCGAACTCGAAGGCGGACGGGGTGGGAGATGCAGAGCTGGGACGGCACTACTGTTTGTGCTATGCGACCAGAATCGGACTGGTCGATGTGGCTGGGGGTGATGGAAGGAGGTACGGCATGAGGGGTTATGAAGCGGAAGTGGTTACTAGGCAATTGATGCCTAGGTTGGCAGGCCTTGGGGGATGGGATGAGATCGGATACAGGTGGTAAGGAAGTGGAAGTGGAAGTGGAAGGAGCGGCTGCCTGGTGGAAGCCCGCCACATCGTCCCTGGTTCCCTTTCCACCGATGTGCTCCTGGCAATGCCCAACCACTGCATGTTTATGCGGTGTTCAACCAATTCCAGCTCCTGTCGGTCCGCACCCAGCATCGATGTTTTCTCCGATGTTTTCTTCCCAAACAACTTCACTTCGTTAAAGCAGCAATCCACAGCCTCTCAACTATCTCGACCAGCAGCAACACCATCTTCAGTTCAGCATCATTGACAACAATAACATCAGGTCCACTGCCAATCACAACTACAACTTCTCTGAAACAATCCAAACCTCCAACATGTCCTCCCCGCAGCTACATGTACCAGAGGAATCTCCCACCTCAACACCACAAACCGCCTCCTCCCTCATGTCCATCGACATGGATCTCGCTTCTAGTTCTACCAATGGCACAGGGACAGGCACCCCTTCCGACAACGTTCCCTCGACCAATCTCGATTACTTCCCGAACAACAATCACATGGCGCCCCCCGCCATCTCCAACGGGTTTCATTCGATGTCAGCCAGTGTCGGTGATATAAACCCCTCGTCCAATCCTCTCACCGGGGCTCCCTTTATAGATCTGTCCCCCCTCCCAGTCCCCCCTTCTCCCACCCTCCTCATTCCCCTACGCTCCCCCATCCACAACAACTTCGTTGATGACAGCTGCAACCCGGCCGTGATTCGGCTCCCCGCCTAGGAAGCGCAGCTGGGAGGGCTTTCCATTCGCGCACGGGCAACCAGGTTCATAAATACAGGTGCCATCCCAGCTGAGAACTCGAACCAAAACAGGGGCCGAGTAGATTTCATCGAGTTTACCAACTTCTCAAATGATGCAGTCGCCAATCAACGGCAAGGCTCAGGCACACTACCAGACGCTGCCCTAGTCCGGTACCCAACGCTGTTTCCAGACATGGCCAACATCAATCCAGTCAACCCAGTCAACCCAGCCCCAGCCACTGTTCCAAACGCAACCTCCGCAACCGCCATTGCCAATACCAACGGCATCACAAACGGCATCACCAACGGCATCACAAATGGCATCACAAATGGCATCACAAATGGCATCACAAACGCAAATGCCAACACCAGCATGACCCTCCCCGCCCCTCCAATCCAAGTGACCCTCCACGTCTACCTCACCTCTATCCCTGTCCAAGACACCCTAGGCCAGCGATCCCTCGTCCTGTCCGGCCTTCGCTTCCAAGACGCCGGCGACTGGCGTGTGTGTATTTACGCTGCTCGGAACGAACGCGTGGTTTGGAGTATCGATGCCGGTGTGGTGAAGGTGGTGAACCCGGCGACTTGGGATGGGGTGGTTGCTGGGTTGGGAAGGAGACCGGATTTGTGTAAGTGTACTCACCCTACTCGGTATCCGCTGTGACTGCTTTGGCCTTGACTTGGTTACTGGTTGCAGAGGTTGGTGTTTGGTTGAATGTGTTTGCTGACATTTCCTTGGGATTCTGTAGCGAACGATGAGAAGATGTTGTTGAGAAGAGTTGGAAGGTGGTGGGAATGATAGAGGGGAGTGATTGGGTATGGGAGTGGGTCAATTAGGGATGGACGTGATGCGGAATACGGCTTGTGAAGGAGGTGAGAGTTGGGAAACAGAAGGTTGTAATGGTTGGATATGCTTTGTCGGGAAAAGCCATTCCACGGCAAAATTATTATTGGCTAGAGGTACAAAATAATGTGAAAGCAGGGTCCTCGTAGTACACACCAAAGCCCCGACATTCTCACCATCGGTCTCCTTACTCCTTGCAGAGACATATTACTCGCTCATCAAGGCTTGTTCTCGTTCCAAACATGGTAATCCAGTTAATGATAATGTGTTTGCAATCGTTGCTCAGCAGCCATTTCAAAGTGTCCTAGCTTCATTTTCCAGCGGCCTTCGAAGGAAACAGCAGTGACGCCCGCGATTAGACCATCAATCCGTGCCATCCCTCATCCCAATCTCCTTCTTGATGCTTCGACACCCCATCATCTCAAACCCGCGCCCAAACAGTATCATGAGCGTACAAAGTAGTAGAAGTAGCACCGCCTCCCTTCTTCATGCTTGATTTGTTGAACTATGCGGAAGGGATTGATTATGGTAAACGATATTGTGGTAGTAAAAGTCTCGATTCATTGAAGAGAAAGAAAAGAGGTGGAGGAAGGAGGATGACATCCGACTTATATACAGGGCAGCCATGTGTGGGTCGTAATCCACTAGTGCCAAGAGAATGCCAAGAACTGGTGATGGCCTCAACATTGTTCACTTTTCTTCCGACTTCCATGAGTTGCTCTTGAGCGGTTGCTAGGCACCGAGGTTTAGCCCAAACTGGACATCTCTGCTCGCTCACTCACTTAGCTCCCTTGGGAATAGTACATTGATTAAGAGTTGAGGGCCGTTGGAGAAATGCGGTGGGTATATGACACGGGGTTCCTCATTCGGGGGATCTATCTTAATTCGAGATCGATCAATGAACCAGACTACGGTCAATGAAACAACGTGCCACACGACAGAAGGTGAAGGGAAGCATGGAGCTGGAAAGACACGATTGTTTGGATATGGATAGAAGGCAGGTTGGGTGAAGAAACAGATTTTACATGTAACCCAGGCAGCATTACATTTACTAACTGGAAGAATGAGGGAATGTTGCTAAGATACGCAAGCAGGGCTTATAGACAACCGAGGCAATAGAATTCGCTGCTCAAGGCCTACAGGCACTATAACAATGTTCAAACAGTACCGCAAAGACTCAGGGCACAGGGTTTTAGGTTCCCTGGATATTAGGCATGATATGTAAGTATACTGCCCGAATGTGTGCATTTTATGTTCGCAAATAATAGTAGGGGAGATATATTGCTACCCAGGAGCACTTTAAAATTCGTCTTTCCAATTTCATACCATTCCCTATCTATCTTTTCATAAACGCTAGAGGGTGGAGATATTATAGTTCACCGTCTTGCATACAATTTATAGTAGGCATAAATATTGCAATATACTTCCAGATTATGCCTGATATCCAGGGAACCTAAAACCCTGTGCCCCGAGTCTTTGCGGTACGTCCGGAGACCACCAGTTGAGGTGCCGATGCATGTTGACACTCTGCGACTGCACTTTGTCCGTCGCTCCATGCCTCATGCCGTAGTAGATATACTGACGTAAGTGGTGCATATGTGTTTTCAATCGGTTATTAGGCATTTCAATATGTCATTGCGGCATCGGGGATGGGCTGGAATGTCTTGTATTCAGTATACCAAGCTGGTATAAACTAGAAATGGAACATTGTCGGGATGTCCTTCCATCTTATCTCCGAGTCGCTATTCAACTTCAATGGCGGGTGCAGATTTAGAACCCCGAGCTTGTATATTATTCTCTTGTTGACGGTCTCTTCTGCGATGGAGTCTATTGAACTGCCCAAACCGGAATCTTTTATTGTCCCTCCTTTTCTTGTCTTCGAGGCAGCTGCCGCAGCCTTGTCGCCGTCGTCGCCAGCGGTGGTGGTGGCGTTGCCGACGGACTCAATGAATGTTAGACTCTGCATATACTTTATTTGGTAACACATTGTTTATTGTTACAACAAATGTAAGGTACTTACCGCTAGCCGGGCCAAGAGTTCTTGCTTTGTCTCGGCCTTCTCATGCTCCTTGACGAGTTCCTAATCCATATTGTTAGCAAGTATTTCTGAACATCACGGCTAGCATACAAACTTACAGCATGTGCACGGCGCTGCTCCTGGAGCTTTCGTTTCAGCGCCAGCATCTCTGCCGCCGTGTCCTATGCAAATGTATTGATTAGCAACCAACGTGTGCATAATCTACCAATACATGAGATTTACTCACGTTCATGCGGCGGTCGGAGGCGTCGAGCTTTTTCTCCCAGGCCTTAATTGTGTTAGCCAAACGGGTATGAATGCACTCGCCGGGTCAGTGTCCTTGTATGATACCGAACATACCTCCTTGGTGTCGTCCTAGAGGCGCCATGTGACCTAGATTAGCTAGTCGTCATATCAACGAGTCAAGATATGAGTAACTGTTTACCAGCAGTTTCTGCCAGGTTGAAGTTAGTTAGAGGTACATACTGCTAGTGGGTGAGGGCTCTTCCTTCAGTGCTGAACAGAAGGCGTGTAGGTACTTTACGTACCTGGAGGGCAGTCTTGTGCCTTCGGCGCTTGGTGCGCCCAACTTTGTTGTCCTTCATGTCCTTCCAATGGTTTGTGTCAGTAATATACAACAGTTGAAGAGAAAGTATCGATTTTGTTAGAATCGCTTACGAGGCTGGGAAACTCGGCGACGGCGAGGTGCCATTTCGTCTGATTCACGTGTGTTGGTCGGTTGGGAGGTCCGACTCCTTTTTATGTCACCCGAGGAGCTGACCGTCATCTGTCAACTGATGCAAAAATCACCAATCGGCACTTGAACGTTCAGACGAGAGCCAGGTTCACTTACCTTCAAGATTGACATAGCGTTCTTTTGTCCTTTCATGGCGTGAAGAGACATTGCGTCTCTGCACTGGCTCTGACCACGTTAAAGGTCAGGTTCCCAGGCGGCACCACGTGGAGGTTGCAGAGGCCGACTTCGCCGCCCCCAAGTTCCGCCCCTAGAGACGGAAAATGGACCCATTGGTTGACGTGCAGGGGGATTTACCACTTTCAACTGACGTTGAAAGCCGCCAACTCCTCGCAAGTTTCGAGAAACAAGCGGTTGCTGACCTTCCCGAACCTGCCACATAGTAACCCCCCAGAGGTACCGTACTGAGCTAGGCCGTTCGGATACATGGACGAAAACGTGACAGACTCAGTCAGCTTTGCCAACCTTCCCGAGTTCGCCACATTTAGTAACCCCCCAGAGGTACCGTACTGAGCTAGGCCGTTCGGATACATGGACGGAAACGTGACAGACTCAGTCAGCTTTGCCAACCTTCCCAAGTTCGCCACATTTAGTAACCCCCCAGAGGTACCGTACTGAGCTAGGCCGTTCGGATACATGGACGGAAATGTGACAAACTCAGTCAGCAGTTGAAAGCCATCAACACATCGCGAGTTTCGAGAAACAAGCGATTGCCGACCTTCCCGAGTTCGTTACATTTAGTAACCCCCCAGAGGTATCGTACTAAGCTAGGCCGTTCGGATATATGGACGGAAATGTGACAAACTCAGTCAGCAGTTGAAAGCCATCGACACATTGCGAGTTTCGAGAAACAAGCGATTGTCAAGTAAGCCTGAATTGTCAAAAAGCGAAAGTTAGTTGACGTCATGAAATAGGGATGCGAATGTACCTTGGACCGGTAAAACCAGACATCTCGAGGCAGCCTAGCTGTGAAGCAAGGCGCGAGCTGAGGAATGCAGGACTTGCCAAGCTCAAGGAAAGCGACACCGACAACGGCGCAAAGCGTCTCGTCGATGACATGCAGCGCAGTGACGGGCGTGACCTCGATTCGACAGGTTGTTTGGCAGACGGTCTTGAAGCTCAAAAGAGCAATTCGGCACCCACGGCGGACTCGAGGAGATTCGATGCCTGTGAAAGTGCGTCAAGAAGCTCTGTAGAGACAATAGTGTCTCTCTGTGCCTTTGAGAGACGGGATGCTTCAACCAGGCGTCAGTGCGAAGAGAGGAACTCACAGCCATGAAGCGCCAGCAAACTCGAGTCGATGTGTTGACAGAGAGAGGGACTGAAGCGGGCTCGACAACGAATTCGGAATTTCGAAGCTCGAATGCGGCCGGGCAAGACTCGGACACGGATCGGAGGAAGCGAGCGAAGTGGGGGCGAGAAAAGACAACGTTGGACTTGGTTTGGGTGTCAGACCAATGGAGACGAGAGGAAAGAATTGCAAGACGTGTTGAAGATGTCAGGATCCAGAGTCGGATGCATGGCAGACGTCTCAGTGGAAAGCAGAGAAAAGGGTGAGGTTTGTTTGAAGTTGCAATGAAAAGTTGATGTCTGACTGAGAACAAGCGAAGAACACAGCCAAAAGTAGGACGGGGGAATGGGGGGATTAAGTAGCTGGAAGGATTGGACTGTGCACAAGTGCAAATCGACAAGTTTTTGAGTGGAGAGGGCAGACAGAACTCAAAAGAAACAACGTTTGGTGTTCGTCGTCAGTGACGAGGGGGGACGAGGAGGTCAGAATGAGAAGGAGTTCCCACTTGGTTGCAACTGAAAGATGGAGGTCGGAGGGAAGGACAGTTGCTTGACTCGTAGGAACCTTGATGCATGGAGTTCGGGCAGTTAAGGAAAGATCAAGGGCAAGAGGAGCCAAGTACCTACTAGAGTAGTAGAGGTTGACATGTCCGATTGTCCGACGTCCCGCGGCTCGTGTCGGCAACCGAAGCGCATCAGCAAGTACGAAGGCAAGTGCGAAGGCAAGAACGAAGTGGCCTCAAGGACCGCCGCGAGAACCGCATATGTACCTAGAGGTACCTCTATGTAAGCGGGCAGCTGAGGATGCGGTCATCATTTACAGGTTCAGTTGCTTGATTTCCGTCCAGGCGGGTGCATGGTGTAATACAATTATTCAAAATGGGGAGGCGGCACGGAATCATTTCTTTCCAGATACTGCAATGGACTGCAGTCCATCCTGCACCGGGCAATCATGTCCGGTTTTTATCGAACGCTGCAGATTTCGCAGTCCGCAGTTCCTTGCCAGTCATCTTTCCCTTGCCACTTGACTCATTCGGCGGGTATTCATTGAATTTAGTTTGTCTAGACACTGTCTCCCATCCGGCCCCCCTCCGCCATATAAAGTGGAGGCACAACCTGAAAGGTGAGAACAAAAAGCTTTCCACTGGCCATTTCCTAAACTGGTGTCCCCAGCTCTCTCTTTTCTTGCTAACCCGAGCCTTCTCGAACCCTCGCCGGTACCATCCCCAATCGGTACGAACCGCGACAAACATGACCACCTTGACCGAGTTCCACCTCTTTCCCTTCCTCTCATGGGAGATGAGAAACAGAATCTGGGAACTCGCCGTTCGCCCACTCGACCGACCCAGCGCCCACGTCTTCGATGTCGACTGCGTCACGCTCGACGAGGAGCGACAAGGAGAAGATGTCTCCTCCAGTCAGTGGTGGGACAAACGCTATCAGTTCGACACGAAGCAACAAGAGAAGGACAAGCAAGAGCGCCGTCTGGCCCTGAAAGAGGGCGATATGTGGGTCTCGCCAATAAGCCAAGACTGTTTCTCCATTAACTGGGTCTCCATTGATAGAGGCTACGCGTCTAGAGCGTATCAGTATCATCTTCTATCTGCCCGTGTTCCTGCAGCTACGCTACCCGCCCCCGGGGTCGCTGGTAGTAACCCGTCGGTATACATGGTTGATGGAGGACTTTGGACCGCTTGCAAGTAATCTCGTGAAGTAATGAAGAAAGCTTTCAATAGTGACAAGTGGGACAAGTTGAGGATGAACCATAAGCAGTTCGAATGGCGATCTGTTCGGGGAAGCAGCTCCACTTTTGGGGAGGGGTTACCATACGCGGGTTTGAGTAGGGAAGGAATTTCCAAGATGGCGTCGACCTTCTACACGTCTAGCTCGTTGCCGTCATCATCAACATCATCTAGCGGCAGCACCACTATCACCGGTACCACTACAAACCCAAAGGAAGACAACAGCAACATTGCATCTCCTACTACCATCCTTGGCAAGCGCTACTTCACCGTCCTCCCCCATCAAGATCTTTTCATCTTCAGACTGTCTACCGGGGTCATGACGTCTTCTCGGGACATGCTAGTCTGGGATACTCTTGCCGAAAAACTCCCCCTGTGCGCGCAAGACAATGGATTCCTCGGCTTCACTAACTTTGCAATCGAATTTAACCCAGCCTGGGGACAGTCTGATGCCTACCAAAGCCTCGATAAATGTCCGCAGGTTACAAACATGACAAAGGCCACAGAAGCCCTCGGAGCGTTACACGAACGCAATTATTACGGCAAGACCGGAATTTATAGACACGACTGCGTTCTGTGGTTTATCGATTACCGGCTGGTTCCCAAGCCCAAAGCAGGCACTGCCAGTACCATCATCACAACCCCTATCATCTCTGACACCTGGGGCACTGCGTCCTGCTCTTCCCAAATGGTCTTTCACGATGGAAACGGTGGCCGCTACGTGCCCGTAGAGGAATGGACGATGGATTTCTGGGACTTTATTGAGCAGACATACGCTTCTGCGGAGGAGTACTTTTACCCAGAGGGCTCGCTGAAGCCCATCAAGTATGAAGATGGTGGAGAGTACACGGACTCATGCCGTGATTTTATTTGCAAGGCACTCTACCCATATTGGTTTGACACGCACGAAGAGTACATGGACCGGGGTAGTGGGACGCCGCCAGAACAAGAAATGCCGTGGGCGGCGCAATGGGGAATTTTGGCTTATCTACCGCCTGGGACTGAGGAAGGTACAGGCATACATACATCATGAGGTATGCTTGAGAGAGTAGTCTACTGTATGGATTCATTGCGAAATACAGAATCCGAAGTCGGGTTGCCGAGAGTGACTAGAAAAGCAAACTTCCCAGATCATCATCATCGAGGCAACCTCCGACTTGGTTACCTTGATCTCGCGAGCCTATAGGAAACATCAGATTAGTACGGAGTGATCCAACAGTGTTTTGATTAATCTAAAAAAAATTTTAAAAAAAAAAAAAAAAAAAAAAAAAAAAAAAAAAAAAAAAAAAAAAAAAAAAAAAACTCCTTTTTTTTTCAGTTAACTCAAACGTTTGGGACGCTTGGGTCAACGTTTCTACACATTTCCATACTTACTTCTACCATCACACCAGTACAAGCATTTCTTTCCACGATGAAAGACAAGTCTCATTTTGAGCACGCCAATACCTGTTACCTGTGCTGATATTCCACGCCTAAAATTGAAGCTCATTGACGCATTCTAACTATGTACCTATCCGAGCTGGCAGTCTAATAGTAATGCATCGTCGTGAGGTTTCATGGGACGGGCCACATGCAAGATGGCCTGAATCTCGTACAGAGTCCCAGAACTACCAAGCTAATATTGAGCCTGAACCCCACCAACACAGTAACACGGGGAGGGATTGGGACATGAATAGCTGGCGATGACTTGGATCTAGAGGGACTGAAATCGCACTGCCCTGGAAGTTTACCTCGGAGGGGTTTCTTCAGTTCATACCTATGAAGTCGGGATTGACTCGAATTTCGGATAATGGCATCTCTTCCTCTTGGGCTGCGCTTGACTCAGCATGGCATTTGGCGCCCCGACCGCAATTAAAGTTCGGATATCTTGTTCGCAACATCACTAACTCCTTCCTGGCCAAGCCAACTGGGAAGCCGGAAACAGTATTGATAACTTCCTTTCCAACGCTTGACGAGTCGCACGACTGCGCGTCGTTATTTTTTGCCATTGGCTGATGAGGGAGTGAAGTCTACCCACTGGGAGCTAAGAAACTGAGCGTACGATTCTTGTGGCTGGGATGGAAACATTGTCATCAATTGAAACGAAGCGGGCTCTTACTTGCTAAAAACAGGCGAGACTGTGGTAGGAAAGAAAAAAAAAGAGATATGACTTGGCTCGGAATCAAAGCCGTAGCTTCCAGGTAATTTGCGTTGATATGGCTACCTCCATGTTATGGTAGAGTTGTTGATGTGTTTGTTGGTTCTGGTGATGCATGTGCATAGTATTCGGATTGGAGGTAAATGAAGCTTGGCGTTATGTAGAGGTATTCCTCAATTTCGACATTGAAAGATCCGTACGAGGACCGCAGTGGTCGTGTTTAACCTTTTGGGGCTGGTGCTTCTTCATGGGCAGCTCACCTGCACTACCCATTCTGGAGATATCAACTCGAAACGCAAACGTGTTGGTATTTTGGCGTTGGGCATGATTCTTATGGGTCATGGGTCTACCGGCATGTCCACGTTGTCTGCATGCGCTCCCTAGAGGTAGACATCTTGGGAACTCGTTAGTTTGTGTATCGAGCTGTAATTACGGCCTGTAAGTAGTCTCGCTGTGCGCACCACACGTGGGCGCTGGGCGGATCTGGCAACAAGGAAACTCAGACGTGAAATTACAAGCCCAACACCTAATTCAGCCCGAACAAAGCACAACACTAAGTTAAATGGGTTTCGAGATCTCAAGATGCAAGACCCCTTTCTTGAATCCAAAGAGTTCTCTCGGAAAGGAGCCCAATAAATCGAGCGTCTCTCATTTTCGATTACCCTGCGGGTGTATAAATTTACTTTGTGTGCGAATATGGGGAAGTTTGTTTCCCTTTCGACTAGGACTGTCTACATCATCAACCGCAATAAAGCGATTACTTATCACTGCAGCCGCCCAGGCCGCTGGACGTCCCGCGTTATATGGGATCTTATCAAGGCTTTTCATAGTGACCTGAGTAGTTGCCGTCGAAGTCTAAGATACGTGAATCACATCATTGCATCAAGTTTGGACTGTTTCAGGTTATTTTGAACAATCATAAATGAATTGTCTTCATCAAAAGGAAAAGTGATAACCATGGGAATCGTGATTAAATACAAAGCCATGCAAATGTTTCGTTTTTGCCCTCCTCCTTCTCCATTCATAACACTTTTTCCCTCTTTTGTTCTCTTTATGAGACGGACTGAGACTGCAAAAGCAAAGCAGATCTAGGCCTTGTGACTTAAAACCCATACCCGTTTAACTCCGCGTAAGTACCTAAGACCACACCATGTGCGATCGATCGTGCCAATCTACTGCGCGTAGTGTGAAATAAAAATGGGAAATAAGAGATAAAAGGAAAAGGTCGATGAGGATGCATTACTTCAGATCGTGGACGAATGCATTTAGTCGACCTCCTCGACGGTGGGGCCCTCGTTGTCGTTGGAGCCAGGGGCGCCGCCGGGGAAGCCACCGGGGGCAGCACCGGGCATGCCACCGGGAGCACCGCCAGCACCGTAGAACTTCATCATGATGGGGTTGGCAATGGCCTCGAGCTCCTTCTGGCGGTCCTCGTACTCCTCACGAGTAGCCTGCTGGTTCTCGTCGAGCCAGGCGACAATCTTGTCGATCTCGGACTTGAGCTTCTCCTTGTCGGCAGCGTCAAGCTTCTCATCGACCTTGGAGTCGCTGAGGGTGTTGCGGAGAGAGTAGGCGTACGACTCAAGGCCGTTCTTGGCAGCGACACGCTTGGCCTCAGCCTCATCCTCCTCCTTGAACTTCTCGGCCTCAGCAAGCATGCGCTCGATCTCCTCCTTGGACAGGCGGCCCTTGTCGTTGGTGATGGTGATCTGGTTGGTCTTGCCGGTACCCTTCTCGAGGGCGGAGACGTTCATGATACCGTTGGCATCGACATCGAAGGTAACCTCGATCTGGGGAACACCGCGGGGAGCAGGGGGAATGCCGGTAAGCTCGAACTTGCCGAGAAGGTTGTTGTCCTTGGTGCGCTGACGCTCACCCTCGTAGACCTGGATAAGAACACCGGGCTGGTTGTCGGAGAAGGTGGAGAAGACCTCGGACTTCTTGGTAGGAATAGTGGTGTTGCGGGGGATGAGCTTGGTCATCATGCCACCAGCAGTCTCGATACCGAGGGAAAGAGGGGCAACATCGAGAAGGAGAATCTCGGAGGTGGACTTGGAAGAAGTGTCACCGGAGAGAATGGCGGCCTGGACGGCAGCACCGTAGGCAACGGCCTCGTCGGGGTTGATGGACTTATTTGGTTCCTTACCGTTGCTGTGCATTCGTTAGTTTGGGGCACCTTACCGTTGTTAAGAGGAAGAGGAAACTTACAAGTAATCGCTGATAAGCTTCTGGATACGAGGGATACGGGTGGAGCCACCGACGAGGACGATCTCGTGGACCTGGGACTTGTCGATCTTGGCATCGGTCAAGACACGGTCGACAGGCTGGAGGGTGGAGCGGAAAAGGTCCTGGCAAAGCTCCTCGAAGCGAGCACGGGTAATGGAGGTGTAGAAGTCGATACCCTCGAAGAGAGAGTCGATCTCAATGGAGGTCTGGGCGGAAGAAGAGAGGGTACGCTTGGCACGCTCGCAAGCAGTGCGGAGACGGCGGAGGGCACGAGCGTTGGTGGAAAGGTCCTTCTTGTGCTGTGAGGGGGTTAGCATCTGACAATATGCATTGAATAAGACGTTTCATGCCATGAACCAAATGGTTTAGGCATTCAACTCAGTCTTCCAGGCATCACTGACCTTGCGCTTGAACTCCTGAACAAAGTGGTTGACGAGACGGTTGTCGAAATCCTCACCACCCAAGTGAGTGTCACCGGCAGTAGACTTGACCTCAAAGATACCCTCCTCGATGGTGAGGAGAGAGACATCAAAGGTACCACCACCAAGATCGAAGATGAGGACGTTGCGCTCACCCTCAACCTTCTTGTCGAGACCGTAGGCAATGGCGGCAGCGGTGGGCTCGTTGATGATACGGAGGACGTTGAGGCCAGCAATGAGACCGGCATCCTTGGTGGCCTGACGCTGAGAGTCGTTGAAGTAGGCGGGAACGGTGATGACGGCGTTGTTAACGGTGCCGCCGAGGTAGGCCTCAGCGGTCTCCTTCATCTTCTGGAGGATCATGGCGGAGATCTCCTCGGGGGTGAAGACCTTGGTCTCGCCCTTGAACTCGACCTGGATGACGGGCTTGCCACCACGGTCGATGACCTTGAAGGGGAAGTGCTTCATATCGGCCTGGACCTCGGGGTCGGAGAACTTGCGACCAATGAGACGCTTGGCATCGAAGACGGTGTTGGCCGGGTTCATGGCGACCTGGTTCTTGGCGGCATCACCGACGAGACGCTCGGTGTCGGTGAAAGCGACGAACGAGGGGGTAGTGCGGTTACCCTGGTCATTGGCAATGATTTCGCAGCTGGTGAAGATGAGTTAGTAACTTTCAAAGTGAGCCAAGGTGAGCCGTCAGGGTGCTGTAACATACCGGTCCTCACGGAAGACACCGACGCAAGAGTACGTCGTACCAAGATCGATACCGACGGCGGGAGCCATTGTGAATGTGTGAGATGTGCTGAAAAAGGGAAATGGGTATCGTTAGGAGAAAAAGAGAAAAAGAGTCGTTGCGTTGAGTGAGTTTGAGAACGCTTTTCAACAATTCCCAGAATGTGACTGGAAAAGTAGAAAAAAAAAAAGAGAAAAGCTGAGATCGAGTTTGGTTTGCGTGGAGGGAAGTCGCAATTATTTGTTTGCTGAACAGTGGTCTGAGAAAGAAGCCAAGGTGGGCTGTGGAGGGGCAGACGGAGCTCCAGAATTTAACTTGGTGGTCGAGCTTGGTCGTTCTTGCTTCTACGAGCTTCTGTTAGTTTCCTGGCTCCACTACGCCGGGGTACATCAGGGTACTTGTGCGCGCCGGGGCGCATTCTGTCGCATGCTGTCGCATCCAGTCGCATTGCCCAGTCGCAAACCGTACCAACCGGTTCCCGCTCGCCGCCTCCAGATGCTAATCGAACCTTCTTTCACGCGCCAGCAACGTCTTTTTCGGTTTGTTAGCAATCTGACAATCCCTTCACTACAAGGCTTTGGTTGCCGCCTCGCGCGATTCACTGCAAGTAGCTTGGTAATTCGATATGTAAAAGTTGGCTGACCTGGATTTGCGCCTGAAAAAAAAAAAAAAAGGTACGTACCTCGGTTACTATTGGCGCGCAAATGGCCCGTTCACTCTCCGCCAAGCCAAAGATGGAGACAGCCTGTAGAGGTACGTACCTTGAATAGACTCAAACGAAGGGTCACACTTTTTCTGATGTGGGCGCCCAGACAAGGCAAGGCTCGAATTGCCCCAGACTTTGATTGCCATGTTCACGGAAGATGGGACTTGCATGTGTTGTGTGTCTGTCAGCCCATGGCCGCCCCATAGTTCCAGCTAGACGGCTCTCACATGAAGCTGTTCTGCCCTACGGCCTTGTTGAGCCTGGATGTTCGCGGTCAGGGGAAGCCCACTATGGGTGATACGTGCCCGTAGTAGCCTTGGGTGGTGGTAAAGGACTTTGACAGCCATGTTGTCAACTACATCGTCCAAAACTTCAAGCAATGTATTGAAAGTGTGTAATTATTTACAGTATTGATGATGATTTCCTGGCGTGGAAGGCTTCGGTTGCCGTTTGCGACTCTGCAACTACTGTACCCCCTTTCTTTTGTTTACATTGCCCCTTTTTTCGTAATTCCCCCATTCAGTCGCAGCCTCAACAGCTTCAAATTGCGCCAACGGTCAGAGGATGCGATGTTGCGATTTAGGTATATTAACAGCGACCGGCATGTCTGTCTGCATGTTGTAAACTTCCAAATCTTTTCAATTGCTGTTGTGCCTTTTCAGTCGTTACAAGCATTAACAAAGAGGCCCCCCAAGCTCTGTCGCAAACTGGTCGCAAAATGCGGCTGTGTACCTCAGCTTCTTCTCCAGGCTGTGTGCGCGAGGGGTGCAGTGGTTTGTGGTTTGCGCGCGCGCGCTTGGCGATTGCGATCAGTTGCGACAGGTTTCTAGAAGTACCTCGACGTACCTGGCCGCTAAACTTGGGTACTCACCCTTGAACTCACCCTTGCATCATGGGCGAGCTGGCAGTGGAATGTGGGGTTTCTGTTTACAGATGGAAAGTCATGACGGTTTCGATGCCTGATTTCTGACGGAGAGATCGAGATTGGTCAAGACCGAGTGTCTCGAGGCTCATTATTTTTTTTCTTTCTTACCTAGTTACGCTTCATCGTTCAGTCTTTGATTTGTATATTGGTTTGGCGGCGTTTTGGCTGGAACTCTTTGCCTTCCTGTATTTTTCAGCTTTCGTTCTTCGGTTCCTTTCAGCTCCAGAAGATGAAAGAAGCCCGACGTCTCCACCAACCCCATTCCAGCATTGCCCGCCGGCCCCACAGCGGCCCATGAAGTCATGGCCCGGGATTGCGATAAGTGGGATAAGGCACTAGCGTGCCCCGCAAACTGACACTGTGAGGCCGAGGGGCAAAGGAGGACGGGGCGGGGCAGGCAAGAGGTCCCCTCGCTAAAGACTGGCGGGACGGGAGCATCAGAGATGGAGAGCTGACTGCTGAGAATTGGAAGCGAGGGGAGGGATCGATTTCGGTTTCCAGGTCCGTCCGAGTCAGCGCTGGATCTTGATCCCAGTCCTCCCCATCGTCTTTCGCGTCAAAGCTCCCATCATCTCTTTGTTCAAACCCTACCTATCTAGCATCATCGACGAGAGACAGGAGCTCCGACCGCACCGCCCATCATGTTGATCAAGGAGAGCTACGCCGACGTCAAGACCTCTGCCAATGGCAAGGAGTCGACGATGAGTTAGTCAAATCACCTCGTTTTGCCTCGCACGTCGAACCCGATGCACTCCGTTATTCATGGAATTTCGAGTTCCACGCCCCGTCGCCAACACCCATCCCATTCCATAGTCCAGCTTGAATCTGACTGGGCCGAACAATACAATACAGGAATCTTCCTCTTCCACCCAACCATCCCCGGATATCCCAATGCGTGAGCACCACCGTGACATCTAGACATTCAAACGTGCCTCGTCTCATACGTCTTTCCGCTTTGCAGGCGCTTCCCCGGAGTCGCCCTCTTCAGTGAAATCTACCAAGGTCAGACCGATCTTAAGAGCTCCCATGCCCGGCCCCATTCCTTGCGATGCCTACACACCCCACGGACCCCGTGGAGAGATGGAGCTGTTCGAGCTCCAGGCTGGAGAATGGACCACGCGGGAGGTTCTTTGCGGGCAGATGCTCCGGGCGCAAGGAAATCCTTGGTGGCTGGTACCGGTGACCACCGATAAGCTGACGATGACTTTGCGCCCGAACAGTGACCGGTCCCGTTGCCCGTTTTGCCCGCCAAATCGCCGGTCAAGGCTACATCGTCGCCGCCCCGAGTAGCTATCACGACTTTACCGGCCCCGAGCCTCTCGCCTATGATGTTCCCGGCACCGATCAAGGCAATGAGTGGAAGGTAGTCAAGACGCTGGACTCATACGATGAAGACTCGCGCAGGACGGTCGACTACCTCCTGTCCCTGCCGACCTGCACTGGGCGCATTGGCGCGACGGGCATGTGTCTGGGCGGCCATCTTGCGCTAAGAGCTGCTGTATGTCTCACCTTCTTGCTGACCGTCATAAATCAAGCTCCAATAACTAACTTTACACAACACAGCTCGACCCTCGCATAACCGCTGCCATTCCCTACTTCGGCACCGACATCCACTCGCGTACCCTCGGTCCCAACGACGGCCCCAACACCTCACCCTCCGCTCCCGCTCTTCGCCCCGATCCGACAACCGCGTCCGGCTTTGTCGCCCCTCACACCATTGACCAGTTCGACAAACTCAGGCACTGCGAAGTGGCCATGATCTTCGGTGTCAAGGACACACACGTGCCCGACGCCGGGCGCGATCTAATTCGCGCCAAGCTGCGCGAGGCTGGAGTGACGTTCAGCTTCTACGAGTTTGCGTGGGCGCAACACGCGTTTATCAGGGACGAGTTGAGCAAGGGGCGGTACGATCCGGCGATTACCAAGGTTTGCTTTGAGGTTCTATTGGAGACCTTTGGGCGGGTTTTGAAGACGGACTTGGGCCAGGGGACGGGCGAAAAGGAGGAGGTGGAGCACGTTTGTTAGGTCATTGAATGGAACAAACAAGAAGAGGAAGGAGAGGCGAGTGTTGTGCGAGCGTCCAGTACATCGCGCACCACTGGAAAACCGGCTCCTCCAGGTAAGATTCCGTTAGCTGGCAATAGACCGAGACTACCGAAGCAAGAAGCACCCCTGGAGGCGACACCGTTCCGTTGTGTCCTACCAGGAGGGAGATCAACGGCCCGAAACGATCCGTACGGACAACAAATATAGAAAGCCATGAACATCAGCGACAGGGCTGAGTCTCGACATGTGATGGCGAACATGTATGGGCCGATGAAATCGAAGCGCTAACATCCATGGACTCTGGATGGGAGTATGTGCTCAGAAGAATCCAAGTTTTCTCTGCTTTCCAGCTAGAGTGATAAAGAACTGATGTTCCCCACAAGAGACCCCCAGCCCATATTCAAGAAGAAAGAGATATGTATCTTTGCAGGCATTCTCCGCGATTAAGTTAGGGCTTTTGTCCGGAATCGAGCCATGCTTCCATGCTGTGCACTCCATCATAAGATAATTCACTGAACTTCATCTCTGATCTGTCATCGATCCAGAGATCACATCTTTAGTAGCTCTTGAGTTCAAGAGGAGAGAGATGAGAAGATTACGTATCGCCAACGGCGGTGATTGTGCATGCAAAGTACCTATATGATGCCTTGATGGATGGGGTCTGGGCTTGGGACTTCGAGCCCGAAGGCTTGGGATTCGGCATCGAGGTACCGGATCAGACGATACGTATCTGTGACTTGATTTGGTGGTAGAGTAATCTTGCCATAACCTGATCTAAGGAGTTTTGGCCTGAAGACTGAAAAGAGGGTGGGTGATTGGAGTCACGACAAGTTGGGGGGCATGGCTGTTAAGGTACTGCTTCTGGAGTATCAGATTTGAAGACGATAGATAGCAGGAAGAATCAGTTGAAGCAAACATGATCATAGCGAAGGTGAGCCATTGGACAGGATTGATATTGCAACAACCTTTCAACGTAAATGGCTGTTCAGACGGCTGGCAATGCCCATGGTAAAGTTTAATGGTAATGACATCCCAAGAATCTTAAAGCATCACCCAAAACCAACTTGGTATATCAACATCCTTCCTTCCCACTATCCATTTCCTCACTTCTCATCCAACCCAAGTTGTTCCCGTATCAACCTCCTCCTCTCCACCTCCATCCTCTTGAACTCCTCATCACTGACCTTTTCCGGGCCTTCCCATGACTGCCTAAACTCACTATCCCACTCAACCCTCGTCTCCCTACTCTCCCACACATCCTCACTACTCGGCTGTCCGCCGCCATACTTGGCCTCCTCCTTGCTTCGGTAATACTCCTTGACGGCCTCCGCCTTCATCTCGGGACCGAACGATTTGGTGCGCATGCAAAACCAGAAATCGTCCCACAGCTCCGAGCAGTTCTTCATGGTGCCGTACCGGTACACGGCGTTGAACTGCGCACCCGGCGTCTGGCAGTGCCAGGCGTAGTCGAAGGCGTCGCGACAGGACATGGTGGTGGGAAGGCAGTGCTCGGACATGGCGAGGGAGGTCGGGGAGCGCGTCTTTTTGGGCGCTGCTGCTACTTCGGGCTCTGTGGCCGCCGGGTCGTCTTTGATGAGGAGCGAGGAAAAGGGGATGTAGGCTTTGTACTTTGCGAGGACGGAGGCGGGAGCTGTCCCTGCTGGTTCGGAAGAGGTTGTTGGGGGTGGTGTTTGTTGCTGCTGTTGTTGTTGGGAGGATTGGGAGGACTTCTTGGTGGCGTCGTCGCCTTGGAGCAGTTCGAGGAACTTTTGGATTTCGGCGTCGCCGGAGGAGGAGACGGCGGAAGGCTGAGACGGTGTTGGTGGTAGTTGTTGCGCTGGAGGGGCAGCAGCTGGTTGTGTGGTGGTGGCAGAGAGAGGTGAGGTCTCGGTGGGCTTCATGCCTGATGAGGCTACCGGAGAGGAGGGAGAGGACCAGAACCAGCCCATTGTTTCTTTCTCTCTTCTTGAAGGTGTAAAGTTTGTAGAGTTCGGTCGGGTTGCGGTTCGAAAGCGGAATTTGAGAGGGGGTATTGTCGTCGAGATTGAAGCGAGGAGCAGTCGATATTCGAATTGAACAAAATGAGGGGTAGCGAAGCCTCAATCCGGTAGCTGTTGGTGTCGACCGGTCGGCCAAGTCTCGTAATTTTTGGCTGTTGTGTTACCAGTCTTCACTTTTTATTGTTGATGTTGCGCGGCATCAAGAGCTTCCAGCGAGAAAGATGAACAATCTGGGCCAATCAGACTGCCAGTGGAGGAAAATGTCGGGAGCCGCGGCAGGCAACGGCGCACCAGTTATCACAACCGAATGGACGATAAAGGGCTTGGCAATGCCCCTCCCGATGACGTTGCACCCCAATGGTCAGCTCTTCAAGGTACCTGGCTCACCTGGATAACCCTTTCCAGGGATCAGTTGAGGAGATCAAAGCCTGGAACCGGCGTGTTTACTCTACACTACTTGTGCCCGGACTAGGTTATCTCCTACCCTGCTGTCGCCATGTTGTGGTAAGGCGGGGTAGCTAGGTAGGTACAGTACCTCATTTTTTGACTTCATACACTACCACTCCCGCCACATTCTTTCAACCATGCGATGAACCTGCAATGATATCAGCACACATTCTCTCCCGGCAGGCGACAAGGCCTGGCCACGGGGGTCCCAAGTTCACCACTCACTCTACTGCCCTCTTGGTCCAACGTTCACTTGGCCAAGGGCTCCCACTCGCTCACAGGAGAACGACCCGAGCGTGGGAGAGCACCTCATCCTCGACGGCTTCCACCGGTTCTCACAAGGAGAGCGGCCATATTGAAACTGCCCCTCATGAATCCCTCTTGTTCTTCAACAGTGAGTCTACCCCATCTCATACTCTCACTCACTCACTCAAGACTAACACGAACAGACCTCTTTCCCCTCAAGCTCAGCTCCATCCTTATCTGGCGGCCATGGACGAGCGAGGACCTCCTCCAACGCTTCGAACAATCCTCGTACAGTTTCATCGACCCCATCAGACTAGTCAAGCGAGCCATCAACACCCACGATCAAGTCCCCATCGAGGTCACCCAGATTATCCCTCGCCTCAAGGATGGCGGCGCATTCGTCAAGTTCACTCATCCAAGTGACATGTCCGCTGCCGTAGTCGAAAGCAAACTGTCCGAACTCCTACAGAACAACCCCATAAAACCATGGTTCAACCCCTTCGGCAGGGTTAAGGCTGGCCTCGTCGAAGGCGTTCCCTGGCTAGAAGATCTGTACAGACTTCCTCGCAGCCGTATACGGGTTGAGTTTGTGGCCGCCAAGGACGACGCATCTCCGGCCGAACTGTCGCAAGAAACGCTCTACAGCATCTTCCGCAAATTCGGCAAGATCACTGAAATCACGTCTCAACCGACAGACTCCAAAGTCTTGCCCCGCTTTGCCTACATCGACTTCGTCCTGGTCCGAGACGCCATCATGGCAAGGAATTGCATGCATGGGTTCGTCTTGCGCGAACAGGGAAGTAAGAATGCAACAAAGTTACGGCTTTCGTACGAGCAACGAGTCAAGGCCCATCACATCTGGGCCTGGTTCACGAGCCACCCTAGGATCGTGATCCCGCTCGTCGCCGCCTTGATAGCGGCCTTTACTGTTGCCGTGTTTGATCCCATCCGGGAGTTCTTTGTCAAGGTATGTGAAAACAAAAAAAAAGGTCATATCCCTGATCGCCAAGTCTCCACCACCAAAAAGATAAACAACTCGATCCACCCAGGGGTCGAACCTGGAACCTCCTGATTCGTAGTCAGACGCTCTGCCATTGAGCCAGCGGACCTTGTTGAAGCTGCGGTTGAGATGTTGTACTTCTTAACGCGATCGCATCCCAGCGGATGTAGAGGTAGACAACTGCTAACGCTTAGTTCCATAGGCACACGTCCAAAAATACTTTGAGTTCACAAACTCCCGTCTCTACAAATGGTTCAAGTCCCAGACCTCCGACATCCTCGCCTTCCGTCGGCGCAAGACCGAAGATGCCGGTCTCAACGCCCTCTTCACCCACCGCAAAGACCTGATCGACTCCATCCAAACCGGCCTCCTCGAGTCTGTCGATACATTCACTGTCGTCCATGGTCCGCGCGGCTCCGGCAAGAAGGAACTCATCCTCGATCAAGTGCTCAAGGAACGCAGCAATGTGTTGCATATTGATTGCAAGCCGGTCGTAGAAGCGCGCGGCGAAGCGGGAACCATCAGTCGTCTCGCCTTCGAGGTCGGTTACCGTCCTGTGTTCTCTTGGTCCAACAACATCAGCAGCCTAGTTGACCTCGCCGTGCAAAGCACCACGGGAGTGAAAGCCAATTTCTCCGAGAACCTGGAATCGCAAGTCGTCAAGATTTTGCAGACGACCGCATCGGCGCTTAAGCAAGTCGGTCTCTCAGAGCGCAAGAAGGAAGACAAGGATGCCGATCTCTCAGAGGATGCGTACCTAGAAGCTCACCCCGAACGGCGTCCAGTGATCGTCGTTGACCACTTCCTCCACAAGAGCGAGGAGAAGGGTGTCATCTACGACCGTATCGCCGACTGGGCCGCGGCGTTGGTTCAGTCCAACATTGCCCATGTCATCTTCCTGACGGACGACGCTTCCTACTCCAAGCCTCTTCAGAGATCCCTTCCCGACCGCGTCTTCCGCTCCGTCACCCTCGGCGATCTATCTCCCGACGTAGCCAAGAAATTCGTCATCTCCCAGCTGCAGACGGACACCAAGTTTGCGCATGACGGGCAGCAGCAGGATTCGGAATCGGACAACCAGGATAATGGCGACAAAAACCAAAAGAAGGACCCCAACACCCCGGCCCCCCTGGACCCAGCCCTCCTCAAAGAACTAGACACCTGCATCACCGCCCTCGGTGGCCGCCTCACAGACCTGCAAGTCCTCGCCCGCCGTCTCAAGATCGGGCAATCCCCACAAAAGGCCGTGCAAGAAATCATCGACTCGACCGCCTCCGACATTCTGCGCATGTTCCTCTTATCCAAGTCTTCCTCTTCCGACAGAAAGTACACAACCGAACAAGCCTGGTACCTGATCTCCCATCTCGCTGCCTCCCCCTCCTCTTCGATCCCTTACAACTCCGTCCTTCTCTCCAACACCTTTGCGTCGTCACCCGAAACCGCCCTCGAGGCGCTGGCCAACGCAGAGTTGATAACCGTCAAATCACAAAACGGCATGCCTTCGGAGATCAAGGCCGGTAAACCAGTCTACCAGGCGGCCTTCCAGAAGCTGGCGAGCGACGAAAAGGTCAAAGCGCGCATGGACTTGCTGGTGTTAACCGAGCTGGCCAAGATGGAAACGCAAAAGATCGAAAAGGTCGAGCAGGAGCTGGTGATGCTGCAGGGACTGATGGCGAGGAGGCCCGGCGATGTGAGTGAGCGGGTGGAGTACCTGCTGGAGAAGATGAAGGGTGGGCAGGCGAGGTTGAAGGGTTTGGAGAAGGAGATGGGGGTTGTGAAGGGGCGGATGGTCAAGTGATAGGAGCTGGAACTTGTTGAGTTAACCAGCGGGGGGAAAGGGAGGAGGCTGAGAGCTGGAGGTGAGAGGGATGAGGGGTGAGCGTTGTTATTTGAGAGATACCTTGGTGTTGGGGTGTCCTTTTGCTTGTCGACAGGCGTGTGTACCCTTCTCCCATCACCCATGTTTCAATGAATATTGATCTATCTCCATTCGATGGTGCTTCTGTTCTGTTATCGAAGAGTGTCTGCTGTGATCTCAGAGAGTCCTTGAGAGAAGCCCTAACAGAACCCATATTCTCAGCTTGTCCAGGTCAGCCAATGGTCTTGGTGAGGCTCGTCCCTGACAAAACTGCTGAGACCTTTGATATTATATCTTGGGTATACTCTGACTACGCATCCAAGCGTCTTTGATACACCTTTGAACTTGGTTTCTAGGCAATTTCTGTTTAGAAATATTCCAAAGCGACTCTAGCCAATGTACTCGTACTTTACAAAATCAGACTCTGATGACTACGACTACAGTACATTTCGAGCACCTTCCCAAAATGATGAAGCCATGGAGTGGTAGAAGGTACCTTTTGACAGACTGAGTCGTCGTAACGCAGCCTGGGATTTGCCCCCCCATATGTCGAAGCCAGGAGGCGGGAGCAGGTCACCGCAGTTCTCGACAAGTACACTCTTGAACAAGCGCCAGCACTCCTGCACCTTCCACACATCCAGCTCACCAGTGTCGACGCTGTCTCGTACCCTTTTCGTTCCCCGAGTATCGTATCGATCGTCGATTACATATGACGCAGTCCGAACGAATTGACCCTCCACACTGTCCACCAGCTGTTGCATCACGTGTCTTTGTTCTTGATATCTGTTACCCTGCATCAAATCCTTCACCATCTCGCCTTTCACATGCTCACGTATGGCGTGCACCGCCTCGTTGACCGGCAACGACAGGCGCCCCTTGGAAATGTTATACTGTTTGCTGACGTGTAGTAAAGCCAGCAGAAATGCGTAGTTGCCGGCTGCGTTGACCATGGCGCGGTTAGCGGCTGGCGTGCCCTCTGCGCCATGTCGCGGAAGCTGAGCGCATATGAACCTGAATGAAATCTTGACGAAATCAAGCGCTTCTTCTAACAGGAGGTAGTAGACCAAGAGAACGGATCTGCCTTTGTGGGTGAGAACGAGCTTGGTCCGGTCAAAAGTGGCCTTCCGAAAAAGGGCATCTGCAGGCCGCCCGAGAGAAGAAGGAATAACGGCGGCTGTAGTGACTGCTTCGTACGGGGGTGGTGGTGATGGCCCTTGAAGTGGACTCTCTCCAGGCTCGTCCCCGGCGCCCTTGGATTCACGTGTGGACGCCTTCTGGAATAGCATGGTGGTGATTCTTAGCTGAAAGTGAAAAGGCAAGACCGGAGAAGTCGGAGGCGGCGACACTTGGGGAGAGGAGGAACTAGGTGCCTGGGGAAGGTGGCAGGCAGGTACGCTTCCCTTTGAAATACCTCTACCTACCGTACCATGACGTAACATGTACGGAAGAATACTTACCAGACCTCCGGCACCGCTCAGTTTTCTGATGAGCACATGCAAGAACTTCACTCTTTCCACTCGGTCCAGTCTGCAGTCGTCTGCACGAGGAATTTGCAGGTTGTTCCGAGAATGGGAAGGGAACAGCTACCTACCTAGGTACCCAAGGATCCTTTCTCAAGCCACGGAAAGAGGCAATGGACAAATCCCATTGCATCATACAGGTACCTACCTCTGCGGATTGGAGGCAACACCCTTGTTCATTCTCAGGGTTAAGAACACAAAATGACATGCCCATCCCATTCTCTGAACCATCTTGTTCTTCCTCTTCCTCCATCATCATCCCCTCTCGCTCGTCAAACCACTTCCCCAGGGACTCATCACCCAGGAGCGACATGCTTATCAACGTGGATTGAAGGCCCAGCCCCCTCAGTCCGGTTTGACCAAGTCAATTGTCAGGTAGTCTCATCCATCTTCTTCTAACACCACATTTACTCACAAGGAACGCCACAGAAAACATCCGAGTCGTTCTTGGTACTACCACAAACAACATACCAAGCGAGCAAAAGCTTTTTTCCTTCATCCGCAACAAGTGATGCCTCCCAACGAAGCGTAACATGCACCCGTAGGACAACAAAGCCCACCTTCACCGCCGTAACGAGCACGCGCGACCATCAATCACCAAATCAACTGTTCCATGCATCGCCACCTGTCGTGACCGACTTGCATCTTACAACCACGACACCAACAACTACATACTACAACAACAAGGACAAATCAGGGGAACCATGGCTCCGTGAACAGGAATCACCACGTTGATATATCAAGTAGTAATGGGCACAACTGCTGTATTTGATCTTTTTTGTTACAAAAGGGAGAAGGAGAAGGTTGAGGAGGAGACGTGGAGAAAAAAGGCCAAAAACGCTGAAGAGAAAATGGCCAGAGTTACCAAAGACTTGAAGAAAAGAGCTGAGGATGACGCGAAGATGGTTCAGGAGGCTCAGGAGAAGGCCGAGAAGGCCGAGACAGAAAAGAAGGAGATAAAGAAAAGGGCTGAGAAGGCCGAGAAGCTACTGAGTGAGATCGAGGAAGAGAGGGAAAGGCAGAGGCAGGAGCAGGATAATATGGGGGTCATAAGAGATGCATGCCTACCTAATGGCGCGTCTTCCGATGCCTAGGTTGATGAAGCAAGGCCATGGGGAAAACATACATCGATCATGCCCGATATGTCCCGATTTTCTCTCTCTGGACGAAGAAAAAGAATGAGTCCAGGAAGAGCCTATAAACATATGATACACCATTAAACACCTTTCGTCGAGCTAGAAATGCATTATCTGTCTCTGGATTGACATATTCATGCTATCGTCAGGCCTCCGCCATTAACGAAACACACACATTGATTGTGAAAACGCCTGTACAAAGGATGATCGCGGAGTTGGAGGCCAGTTGGCGAACCAGGCTGGATGATCCCCCATAAAGTACGACCCCAAAGGGCCTGTTAATCCCGAGCTCGGGGTTGGCGGCTTGGAGCCCAATCAGTAGCGACAGTTCCTCCACTAATATCCTGCACAGCGCTACAGCAGTCTTGAAGTGGGTGGTAGAGGGATGTGAACCGGCAGTTCATCCCGAGCTCAGATTTCCACCAATGGACCACGCGGGAATGAAGTATAAGAGAAATCGTTGGGCCACGTGCTGCAAGTTGCGAGCTGTCCCAGTGGTGGTCTTGACTTATTAGGTACACTGCTATCGAAAACGCGGGACCTATCTCAACATCTTCAACATGCTTGCTCCTCGACGGCTGCTGTGCTTGGCTTCGAGGACCCGAAGATCCAGGTCCTTTGCGACAATCACGTCAGGGCCCCTGAATCTTCCCCACGTCATCAAACCCTCTCTCGCCGAACAGCAGCAGCGGAAGCTCAGCCCTCGTAACCTCGAGGCAGCCGTGCGCCATATGCACCGCGATGGTCTAGTCGTCGTTGAGGATGCCGTTCCTCTGAATGACCTAGACCACCTGAACCGCAAGATGGTTCAAGATGCCCGCACCCTGCAGGCTCGCGGAAAAGACGGCCCCTTCAACTACAACCAGGGGAATCTCCAACAAGACGCCCCTCCGGTAGCCGAGTACTTTTCCACCTCGGTTTTCGCCAGTACGTCCTCACCATTCCACATGTAGGTACTTTGTGTTGCACAACCTGATTCCCCTCTCTAGACCCCATCGCAACCCAGATAACCTCCCATGTCCTCGGCCCGCGCCCCAAATGGACCTTCTGCTCCGGCAACGCCGCCATGCCGCCCCTCCCCGGCGCGGACCCTCAGCGCCAACCCGTCCACTCAGACGCCGACTTCGCCCACCCGGCGCACCCCTTTGCGCTCGTCATCAACGTGCCCCTCATCACCATGACGCCCGACAACGGATCCACCGAGCTCTGGCTGGGCACGCACAACCTCGCCGGGGAGGATAGCAGTGGCATCGCGGCGCAGGAGGGTGCCCACGGAGAGCGCACCAGCGGGCGCATCCGCCCGGAGCTCCTGGTGCGGCGGGCGGCGGTGCGCGCACCGTGCCAGCCGACGGTGAGGAAGGGGAGTATTGTGGTGCGGGACCTGCGGCTGTGGCATGCGGGGATGCCGAATCTGACCGCCGGGGAGGTGCGGATCATGTTGGCCATGATCCATTTTGCGCCGTGGTATCGGAATCGGATGAGGTTGGAATTGGGGGAGGATGTGAGGCCCGTGCTGGAGCGGGAGGATCTGGGGTTGGAGGTGCCGGTGGATTGGGTGGGGAGGGAGGAGGTGTTGGGGAGGTATTTGAATAGGGGGTTTGGAAATAGTTATGATTTTGATCAGGAGGCTTAGAGCACTCGGGTTCTGAAATGTACATAGCCTAGCTAATGCCCATGCGGCAGATTGATGGGATCGAAAACACAAAGACCTGATCGGTCCAGTTGTCACTGGTTGTGAACACATGGTGCCATCAGAATCAAGACCAACTTGAATTTCTAAGGTAGAGGTACCAGGCAGGACTCAACGAAGAGCTCTTCATCTCTAATCCCCATTTCCTTCCATGGTTCCTCCCTTATTTTCCCAACCTTATTTGTCATGGCGAACTAACTCCCAGATAAATCCAGTTCAGAGAGTCGAGACCTCGTAATACCGAGTTGTGGGGAAGTGCGTGTTGGTTTTGGATAAGATATTGAGGAATGTCTAGTGCCCTTGGGGGACAGGGAGACTGAATCCGGGGATTTTGGGCCTGGATACACACAGCAGAATATAACTCTAAGTAAAAAGGCGGCACGTGCACGGTGGGTTATTACTACCTATGTAATCCGTTTTATTAAAAGTCATACTTCAAATGCTAACGGGGTATGGTATGCTCATGTAACATGATCATTTCCGTCTCGGCGCTGCCACAAGAAAACTAAGCTTTTGATATTCCTTAATGTCTCCCTCGCATTATGGCTTCTTCTTCTTCTGGTATGCCTTCTTCATGTTTCGTCTTGTCTTTTTTCTAGTCCCAATTCCAGCCCCAGTTCCAGTTCCAAACTTGAACCAATGGTATCCGTCCCTCCATCCATCCATGTATCCCAGCCTTATATCGTCTTTATCGTACATCAAACATCTATCTCCATAAACTATAAAATTTACAAGAAGAAGATAAAAAATCTCTAGAACCGCAAATTCTCCCATCGATTGCTCTCCCTCTTGCACCAGGAACTTCCACTCCTACTCCGACTATCTTGACTCCTTTCCTCATCCCTCTGACTTCGTATTTGTGGCCAATCGGAAGGATGAGTCGCTGATCTCATCCTCGACGCCGGCTTTGGTCTCTCTGGTAACGAGGGTCTCTAACCAATCGGGGGAACCGGGGGAGCAGGAGGAGCCTGAGAAACCGAAGGGGCAGGGGCAGCAGGGACGGTGCTACCAGGGTGATGCTTCTGATTCTATCTGTGTTCCTGGTTGTGAGAAGTTTGGGTTTGAGTCAAGTCGGAGCCCGTCACTGCGGCCGCGGCTTGTTGGGGTAAGTTCCCTGGGAGTTGGGCTTGCGGTGGTTGTCCTTGCTGAGTCTGCTGTGTCTGTCCTTGAAGAGGAGCAGTAGTTGTCGTAGGTCTGTTTACTACCGCTGTCGGGTTAGACATACTCGCTCCCCTCGGCCTTGCTCCCACCGGTCCTCCTGTCCCGCTTGGACCGGCTGTGGGGGTTGGACTGAGCGTCATAGGCGACGGAGCAGGCAAAGTCTGCGGTGGCGGGATCGTCGTGGCAGTTGCTCCAGGGGCGGTGTAAACCGGCTGAGGAGCCTGTGGCTGCTGTGATTGAGGAGACAAAGTCGACTGTCCCGCGTACAATCCACCACTGGCGATGGGCGAGCTAGGGCTCATCGGTGGTTGATTCTGTTGCGCGGCATAAGCTGCCCCGGCGTATTGCGACATACTCGGCCCTGGCTGTCCTTGTCCAGCGTATCCCTGGCCGTAGGTGTAGGTACCGGGGCTGATACCGGCTTCGCCTCTCTCAACGTCAAAGGAAAGGTTGGAGCGACGGCCAGTGTTCGGGCTGCGAATGCTGCCGAAGCCACTGCCGACGCCACTGCCGACCGAGGGACGAGTGACGTGCACGCTCAGAGACCTATTCCCGGACGGCAGTCCCTCGCCTGGTTTTCTGCGTCCGCGCTGAGACTCACGGACCGACAAGTAATTCCGGCGGGAGATGGAAGAGGCGGCATCGTCACCGGCGCGGCCGACGGGGGAAGCGTCACGCGAGCGCAGGGTGGCCCTGTCGTAGCCCCAATCGTCTAGCGCCTCGGCGACGGGATCGGAGGCGTTGATGTTGGCGACTGCTTGTTGCTCGGCTTCCATCTTGCTGCTTCCTGTTTTGCCGCTGCCCGAAATGTCATCATCCTCTTCTTGGCGCAGTTTGTTAACCATTTTGGCCGCCGCCTTATCCTTGTCCGCCTTTTCTCTAGCCGTCGCAGCGAAATCGTCGGTTACAGCAACAGAGTAAGTCGGGTTGTTAGGACCACCCAACGCTTCACCACCACCGCCGGGGCCGTTGATGGGGACCGCCTTGAGGGCCAAGGCCAAAGCGCACATGAATTTGGAGCGACGGGTGCAACGCACGGCCTCGTTGTGCCAGTTGGACTTGTGCTTGATTTGAATCTTAAGCGTCATCTTATCCAAGTTGCCGACGTCGTTGATCATAATGTTGATGTCGGGCTGGAAGTCGCGGCTATTATCGGGCGAGCGGACAAACTTTTCGAGTTCGAGGCGGAGAAGCTCAATATCTTCGAATGAGGTATCATATGATACGGCAACGTCGACGGTTTCTTTCATGGCCTTGGATCGCGTGACGTTTTCGATCCAGAGGTTGTTGAGTTGGATATTGGGGACCTACAAAGTCGTTAGGATATGGACAGGAGGGTAAAGAAGAGGTGTAAAGGGGGTAAGAGACATACCTGAACAACTTGCATCTTGTCAATACGGGTAAAGACCGTGTAGAGGAGAGAGATCTTCTCAACAATGAGCTGCTCAGCGTCGGGACCCTTGATATCAACACGATCGCCAACATCGTACGGATGCTTGACAAACAGGAAGATGCAAGAACCTAGGAACTCCTGCGTGGTAACCGCGAAAACGAAGGACAGCGACAAAAGCGTGGTGCCAGCCGTGGCCAGAGTTGTCACAAAGCTGCTCTGGAAGACCACCAAGAAGATAATGATCACAATGATCAGCACCACAAACAGCAAGACCTTATCAAACACCGTCAAGGCCTGACTGATGTCCTTCATGCTGTGGGCGATTGCCTTTCTCTCCTTACCGATATCGACAACCTTGCGAATCATCTCGTCGAGACTAATGTCGCCGTTTTGGTCGGCATCGATGGCGTTAAAGCACTCCTCGGCCTCTTCGCGGTGGTGTGGGCCCAGCACTTCGATGATGTCATCCAGCAAAAGGGCCTCCTCGCCTTCGGCCGCAAAGGACATCCAGATACGACGAGCCATGGCCTCGGAGCTGCGGACTTTTTCGAGCGCTTCAATGACGATGGAGTGCGCAGACGTGGGGTTGAAGACGTTCTTGCCGGTGATCTCGGAGGCAATGTTGCCGAACACCGAGGTGATCTTGTCGCCGATGCGGTGGACGTCGCCGACAATACGCATGGGGGTGCTGGTGCCTCCGGGGCGCATCTTCTCGGCCCGGTCGCGCATGAGGAGGGCGTTGATACTATCGCTGATGACATAGTCCTCGTCGGCAAACTCGGGGCAGTACATGGGGAAGAGAGTCCTCGAAGCATCGTAAAGGAGACCCAAGAGGTAGATGTCGCGCTTGGAGTCCTGGATGCGGTTATGAAAGGAGCGTTGGTGGTACGAGATGCTGATGAGCTGGACAATAGCCTTTTCTCCCAGCAAAACGCCAAACGAGATGAAGAGGGATAGCAGGATGCGCTTGATGGTGTGGACCCATTCGATGCTGTCGTCTGTAAAGCGGAACTTGAACACGAGCCAGGAGGCCAGTAGCCAGAGAAACAAGGACAGATTGATCTCGAGAGCGGCCAGCACGTTGGCGTACTTGCGGGTTCCAGCGCTGACGACACCGCAGAGAAACATGAAGACGTGAGGGAGAATGTGGGCGACGAGCTTGGCGGTCCAGAGCGACAGCCATGAGATTTCGATCCAGAGAAAGAGCCAGAAGAGAGTGTAGTTTTCCTTGTCGCTGTCGCTGGTGCCAAGCTGGATGTTATCCACGTTGCCCGTAAAGGGCAGCACAAAGAGGGGAATGGCGAACAGGAAGGCGATGGGGATGATGTAGATGAGGTAGCGGGTGACGAAGGGAAAGCTGACAACCTTGCGATAGAAGCGACCCAGCGCGTTCAGCTTGTGATCCTCACTCATGTTGGTGCCCGGCCGGCTCAGATCTCGCACACGGCGCCGTCCAGAAGGCCCGGCCTGGCGGTGGCTGGCCTTACTGGGTTTGTGAAAGAGGCCATGCTTCTCGGTGGGGGACGAGGATGAGTCGACGGTGCCGCCCAGGGTGTTGGAGAGAGTTTGGTCAGCCTTTCGAACACCACCACCGTTGGAGGACCTCGAGGCAGTAGATGCGTTGGTACGGATGGGTCGTAGTGGGATATCATTAAGTTGGTCCATTTCAACGTCGGAGTCAGTGTTGGAAGGGATATGGCGGAATCCCCGATGCCCTGTTGGCGACTTCGTACTTCTTAAGGACATAGCTGAAGAGGTACTAGTAGTTGGACGCGGACGTCAGAGGGGTGGGTCCAGGTCGCCGTCGATGGTTTGGTGGAATGTGTGGGGAAACAGGCCGCGGCGGTGATCTCAGGACCTGGACGGCGGCCTTGGCGAACGAGAGTCGGTGAAGTGGAGCAGATGGCCGGAGTTTATCGAAGCTTTTTCTCTTCTAAATTTGAACTCAAAGGATGGTGATCAACAACAAAGAGAGGGAGAGAGAGCGAGATAAAGACTGTGGTTGGCTGGTGATGCGGTAACGTAACGGTAGCAACGCCGAGGGAACGAATGTGGAGAGTAATGAACGCGATTGGATGTGGTATTTCCAGGTTAGGAATTGATGAGAGGGTAAACACAAAGATGATTGTCAGAGAAGAGGAAAGAAAGCGAAGAGGATTGAAAGTGAGGGTGAGATGTGGGAGGAATTCAAGGGACTTATTGTTGTTCACCTTCAAAAGTTTTTTTTTTTCTTCCTCAGTTCACTTCGTTCTTTGACAGTACAGTATCGTAACTGTGAAAGTACTGTATCGTATCAGTTGTTACTTGGTACAATCCCATACTTACTGGCTTGTCTACTGTACAGTAGTATACTGTGTAGGCATTATCAAAATGAATACATCGTATTGGATCTTGTTGATGGCTTGGCTTTCGGATCCGGACCTAGCCATTTTCGTGTTGTAAACTGAAGCTGCTGCTTTTTCTCGCAATAGAATACCGACACCCACCCTATTATTGGTCCTTGTAAGGCTTGATAGGACTGGTACTGCCGTAAGGTACTGCTCTGTACAGTACCGTGCCGGTCTGTGAATGTGCCTTCCCGGATCGCATGTTTCTCGTTGTTTCCAGTTTCAGTTTGCCTTTTTGCGGTTTGCATTTCTGACAACGGTGGGGCCCTCTGTCCATTTGGGATTAGCCCGGCCTCCATCTGATTCCAGGGGTGCAGCAGTCTCCTGTGGATCTTTTCCCCCAGGTTCAGCCACTGAACGCCCCAGGCCGGTTAGCGACATCCGTTCCCTGTTTCACATAACAGATGGACCCCGATTTGTCAAGCCCGGTGTGTGTGATTGGTCAGTGCTCTTTCTTGTGGCTGTTTGGGGTCCACACCTCCATCAGCCTGCCTTTTTTTCTTCTTTCTTTTCAGTTGACTTCGTTGTGGCATGCCAGTGTCTTCTGTTGACATTCCTCTGGCATTCCGTGGTGGGTGTGGTGTGGTGTCGTGTGTCTCGTCAGGTTCCTGAACCACCACACTACAATGAAGTTGAAATAGTACTTACGGTAGTGTGCATATCGGCAATATGCAGCTCGTTCATCCTGTGTTATGTAGGTACAGTATGCACTCCAACTTGGCTTGTGCAGCCCGACCCGAGTCCCTGACATCACTCCATCTCTTACCACGAATGGATACACAACATGTGTCTTGTCCTCTGTCATGTCAACAACAGGATGTTCAACAGAGAACGGTTGAATAGTCAACACACTCAACCAACACTTCTTCGATTTAATACTCAGTCCTTTAGCCTACTACACAGTACAAGCAACCAGCCCTTGACACTGCCAACAGTCGCCAGCTGGAATTGCGATCAACACTCGGCATCCTCTTAAGTCCACCAGCTGAACTCAATAGTAACCGTGTAGTGTAGTGTATCTCGAGTGTGTGCATAGTGTGCTATGTCCTACACTGGACTACGTCACAGCCCATGCCGGAATCCCGTCTCTGCCGTCCCACGGAGCCCTAAGAGCCCACCGTTGGGGACGTAGGTGCGTTAGTCTGTCAATAAAGCCGATGGTTTTTCTGCATCCGAGATTTCGATCTGATGCCAATGACCACTTTGCCACTCCATCACTCACCGGGTGGATCATTAACAATGTCTTTCCTCGATACTGTGCCGTGATCCACGCCGCGACTGTCGCGTTTGAGAGATCAAAAGAGAGCGGCGTCGGAACAGAGTTCGGTTTTCGGTTTGGGAGAGAATTGGCTAATCTCGGAGGGTTTGCCTTGGCTGGGGAAGGGAAGACCCCTGGTGTGGAGGCAGATGGAGGCGCGTGCTTGGCCATCTCTCTGGGATCTGGCAGCAAAGCTGAGACGTGGTGAGAGATCTAGATTTGATGCGTCCTGGCCGTCTTGGCGTGAATCATAATGGTGTTTCTGATATAGCTGAGAGCAGTGTACTGTACGTATGTAGTGTATGTATGCAGGTACAATTGCTTGCTGAGGTGATGGCATTCAAAAGGTAAGTTGTCCGTCGTTGAAAACTGCCCGCCTTCTGCCGTCCCGTGCCGTGCCGTGTTGAGGCTGAAGAACGGCACTACTACATAGTAGACTAGTGTACACCACCAACGAGACTATTGAGGTCGACAATATTGAAGATGACGTCAGAGTAGCCATCGTGAAAGTGGTCCAATCCAGTTCGCATCGAATCAATGGACGGGAGAAGCACGGACCATTTGCCGCGGCTGACGACGACTAGCCGAATTACAATCTATAACGTTCAATGAAGGCCTCGATATGCTGTTTTGTGACTGTTACACGTACTGTTACCGTAACTGTTACCGTCACAGTCGCACACTCCAATTCAATGCATGGAATGACCTGATGAAAGCTCGCTGTTGGTCATAGCTCCCACCCTTCCTGTTCTCTCCACTTAATTTTTCCCCGCGATAAGGTGTCACAATAACCTCGATAACGACCGTTGTCTCGTCAACCACCACAACTCCAGAGCTCAGCTGCTAGTAGAGTCAGTCCGTAGACTCGTATCTAATTAATACCTTATAACATCCACATCAACAACGTCAATCGCCCACCCACCATGAGACCGTCGCGACTGGCCATGCGGCCATACACCTGTCTCCAATGCCTCACCCGGACACGCCCCGTCTTCCGCCGACCTACTACTACTACCTCTATACAAACACCGCGCATCGCTTCTCTCCATAACAGCTCCCGCTTCCTTCAACAACAACAACAACAACAACAATTATCAGACTCCCCAGCGGCTGCTTCTCGACCAAGCATAGCCCCCAAGCCCGTCGTCGATATCAAGCACATCCGCCAAAACCCAGACCTCCACGCCCAAAACTGCATCGAGCGCAACTACCACCAACAAGCCGCCTACCCACAACGCATCAACGACCTCCACGCTCAATGGCAAGCCAAGCAGCGCGAGGCTCGCTCTCTTCGTGAACGCTCCAATATCCTACGCCGCCAGCTCACCGACCCCGGTTCCATCCGTGACGAAAATGCCGACACCATCGCAGCGGGCACCAAGTTCCTGACGAGGGACGAACTCATTGCCGAAGCCCGCAAGCTCAAGTCTCTCCTCTCGACCATCGAAGCCGAAGAAACACGTATTCTCTCCGAGATCGAGTCCCTCGCCCTGGCCATCCCCAACCTCACCTCGGAAGAATCTCCCCGGGGCCCCGAACCCAAACTTCTATCCTTGATCAACGAACACCCCGAACCCGTCCCTTCGGCCTCCGACCGCGTCTGGCGTTCCCACGTTCACATTGGCAACGAGCTGGGTCTTTTCGACTTCGCCTCCGCCGGCACCACCTCGGGCTGGGGTTGGTACTTCCTGCTCGACGAAGCTGCCCAGCTCGAGCAAGCACTCATCGCCTACGCCCTCGACCTCGCCGTGCGCTCCGGCTGGCGCCAAGTCAGCCCGCCCTCCATGGTCTACTCGCACATCGCCTCGGCCTGCGGTTTCCAGCCGCGCGACCAGAACGGCGAAACGCAAATCTATGCCCTCGCCCAATCCGCCGACGACGCCGCCCGCGGCAAGCCCGAGCTCTCCATGGCCGGCACCTCGGAGATCCCGCTCGCGGGCATGCACGCCTCCAAAATGCTTCTCTGCCCCGGCGACATCTCCGAGTTTTCTCCCCTGAAATACGTCGCCGTCTCGCGCTGCTACCGTGCCGAAGCCGGCTCCCGCGGCCTCGAGACCAAGGGCTTGTACCGCGTGCACGAGTTCACCAAAGTCGAGCTCTTCGGGTGGACGTACCCCTCTCTCGACTCGGCGACCGACGTGTTCAACGAGATTGTCGACTTGCAAACCGACCTCTTGTCTTCCCTCGGTCTGCACTGCCGCGTGCTAGAGATGCCCACGCACGACCTCGGTGCTTCGGCCACGCGCAAGATTGACATTGAGGCCTTTTTCCCGAGCAGGAGGGAACGCAACGAAGGGTGGGGCGAGGTCACGAGCGCGAGCATATGCACTGATTATCAGGCTAGAAGGCTGGCGACGAGGCTAAAGGGCGAGGATGGCAAGATGATTGAGGGCGGTTATCCGTTTACGGTGAACGGGACGGCCATGGCGGTGCCGAGAGTGCTGGCCGCGTTGTTGGAGAATGGCTGGGACGAGGAGACGGGTACGGTGGTCATTCCGGAGGTTTTGAGGGGGTGGATGGGTGGGAAGGAGAGGATTGGGCCCAAGCCCCCGACTAAGAAGGGGTTGGGGGTTGGTGTTTAGTAGATGCCAAGGTGGTAGGTATGGTCTTTGGGACATGGCAAGGGGATAAAAGGAGTTGATCGGTGGTGTAAGATACAGATATATGGTTGGTTGTATTATTTTTTGCAGGAAAAGCATGTTAATGGAGTACGGTTACTTGTTTGTATTGCACATCCCGCCTACTGCTCACTGCCGTGATGCCTCTGGCAGCCCCATTTGGGGAGGGGAGGGACCTCGCTTTGCGCGAAGGATTGGGTTGAGGATTCTGGCCTGTCGTTTATCCCAAGATTCATATGCATTTCGCTATAATAGTGAGTGTCTACTTCAATCCGTGTCTCTCAACTTTTTCCTTGTCTAATTGGGCCGTTGTTATTCCATGACAGTGTTGGTTCCGGTCGCCCATCTGTATTTCAAACATACCTAGCTATCTACAAGAGACTGATGGTGTCTCGAACTGTA